GAAAATATTCGCTGAGAAATGCATTTTTCCTCCAGTTTGAGCAGCATTTAGTATAAACTACAGTGAGCAGTTGCTTTAGGAAATTGTTGAGCCTTTATAAAAATAAAACTATATATTTATGAGGCAATTTTTAAGTCTTCAGTAGGAACCGATGGTTCAACGTCAGAGAGCACTAAGAGACAGATGAACATGGTGTGGTTTTTTGGTCTTTTCATGGTGAAAATCATAAAAATATAGAATATCACCAGGGGCATCTCATTAGAAACTGTAACATTACTTTCAAGCTGGTTTTGCTATCGGATAACAATAAGCGAACCTGAATCTGATAGAGATGTTGAGAGCGTCACCTCCCTGCGGACTCACCTGTCTCAGACATCTTCAGTCCAGCATCCAAGCAATCCAACAGTTCCTCTGTCATATCTAACCTACAGTACATTAAAACAACATTAATGAAACACATTTAACCACACATGTAATGAGAAACACAGTATTCATGTGGCAACTGCTCATAGTTGTGGGTTTTAGAAAACTTACACTTTGTTCATGTCATTTCCTGCTTCCTTCTCCAAGGTCTCGTCAGAGGCCTCCATGTTGCCTGGGATCACTTTGTGCTGTGGAGGATCAGATGGTTTTATCATTCTCAATTTCCCACATATAATTATATAAAACAAAACAATATATATTTACGTTATACCTTCGCATGAAATTCCATTTTGAGGCAGAGGAATTTGGCAGACAAGGCAACAATGTGTCCATATCGATCATGCAAGTTTCCCTGTGAAGAAAATTTAAAGGTATCAGTAGTAGTCCATTTATTTGTACAACACAAAATAGAAAGATAAAACATAACAATTCAAATATTGTACTTTATACACTACTCTACTGTATATATTTTACATTTATAGTTTCTATTTTGTGTCTAGTTGTGTGTCCTTGTCACATTTCAGCAACTAGGGGTTAAGTGTCTTGCTCAGGGACACATTGGTGGACGTGTCAAAGTGGGGAATCAAACCCGGGTCTCTCACACCAAAGGCATGTGTCTTATCCACTGATCCATCACCAAAGAAACATTTTCCCTCTAAACTTCTCCCAGGTTTTCATTTAAATAACTGTTGCAGGCTCAAAAACACAAAAAAAAATGTTCCAATATTTCACAAAAAGATACAGAGTAGAGGAAATCTAAAACTTATGTTTCAAAACTTTGTTTTTTCATCTCTCCTATCCCCTTAATCATCTTACGGCCCCTCCGATTTATCTGTTGATTCTTTGGAGGGGCCCGAGCCCTAGGTTGGGAACCACTGGACAAACTAGTAAAGTGTATATAAAGTAGATAAAACTAGCTAGCTAACAGGCAGGACTTTTATTTGTAGTAGTATTTTCACATTGTTGTTTTGGTACTTTTACTTTGAATAGATCTGAGTACTACTTCCGTTGTTGTGCTACTCACCCAGAGGGTGCCCATATCTTTAACGTTGCGACAGTATCTGTGAGAATCTCTTACAGCCTGTAGGTCAGACAGAAAAAAGATAGATCACACATCACCAACAGGAAGAAGAACAAGAAGCTCGAGAGGATGTTTATAAATTTGATCTTACATTTTTGTGTCCGTCCCGGAGCACTTTGTGCAGCAGATAGCAGAACTTCCAGCTGATGATGGCGTTGCTGGACAGAGGCACGTTCAGAGCGTAGGACCAGAAGGTCATAGCTCCACCATCCTTATATGTTCCTATGATGATATCTTCACAGCTGTCAAGGAAACACCAAAATACTAATGCAATAATCTCAATCTAAGACTTGTGATTTAGCAAATCCATTACATTACTGTTTGATTTTTAGCTGTGGCTCTAGTGATGACATGTTCGGTTTTTCCATCATTTTGGTCCAGACTGAAATATCTCAACAACTATTAAATGGATTGGACTGAACGTTTGTACAGACGTTCATGGTCCCCAGAGGATGAATCCTACTGTCTTTTCCTCTAGCTTCACCGTGAGGTTGACATTTGTTATTCAAAATTAAATATTTTAAGATTTCAGATTGATTGCCATCAAATTTGCTACACACACAGATTAATCCTAATGGTTTTGGTGATCAAGTCAAGCCAAATATCAAAGATCTACCATAAGGGGCTTTATAATCTGTACAGCATAGGACACCCTCTGTCCTTGGACCCTTGAGAGAAAAGTTTCGACAACTATTGGATGGATTGAAACTTGTTATGTTCACGTTCACCTCAGGATCAGTGGTGGAATTTACTCAAGTAATGTTAAGTACAAATTTGACACAGCTGTAGGCCTACTTTACTTGAGTATTTCAATTTTATGCAACTTGCTTCGAGTCGGCTACTTTTATCTGACATCTTCAGTTACATTACTTTTAAAAAACATGATATGATGCAGTCCTATACTACTAATCTACCCAGTAGGGTAAAACATACAGTCCCGTCCAAAACTATTGGAACATGTGACTGACAGATGTTTCTTGTTGCCCAGGTGTTGCCCTTTAGGTTCACTGTCCAAACATTAAATAGCTCTGCATGACTAGTCTAAGTTTTCATCCTTGGTTCAAACCTATAACGACTGCATTTCCTGTTAAAGAGGATAAACCAACATGAAGACCAGAGAGCTGTCTATGGGAGACATTGTCAAGCTGAGAAAAGAAGGAAAATCGACCAGAGCCATTGGACAAACATTGGGCATAGCAAGCACAACAATTTGGAAAGTCCTGAAAAAGAAAGAAACTACTGGTGTACTGAGCAACAGACGTCCAAAACAGGTCGGCCAAGGAAAATAACAGTAGTTGATGACAGAAATATCATGAGAGCTGTGAAGAAAACATCACCAACGACCTCCACAGTGCAGGGTGAAGGTATCACAATCCACTGTTGGAAGAAGACTCAGAGAGCAGAAATATAGAGGCCACACCACAAGATGCAAACCACTCATCAGCAGGAAGAATCATCGGAAGGCCAGATTGAAATTTGCAAAGAAGTACAGAGATGAGCTGCAAAAGATCTGGAGCACAATCTTATGGACTGATGAGACCAAGATTAATCTCTAGCAAAGTGATGGAAAGGCCAAAGTGTGGAGAAAGAAAGGAACTGCTTATGATCCGAAGCACACAAGCTCATCTGTGAAGCATGCTGGAGGTGATGTCATGTCTTGGACGTGCATGGCTGCTTCTGGAACAGGCTCATTAATATTTATTGATGATGTAACTGATGATGGTCGCAGCAGAATGAATTCAGAAATGTACAGAAACATTTTGTCTGATAATTTACGGAGAAATGCATTGAAACTAATGGGGAGGAAGTTTATCATGCAGCAGGACAATGAGCCAAAGCACACTGGACTTCATCAGGGGGAAAAAGTGGAAGGTTTTAGACTGGCCAAGTCAATCAGCTGACTTTAACCCAATAGAGCTGCATTTCACTTCCTTAAGAGGAGACTGAAGGGAGAAACACCCCGAAACAAACCTGGAATAGCATCACAAATGAAGAATGCAACAGTTTGGTAATTTCGATGGGTCGCAGACTTGAGGCTGTTACTGCAAGCAAGGGTTATGCCACCAAATATTAAATGTTATTTACTTTAAGATTATTTGTTCCTTTACTTTTGCTCACCTAAGAATGCTGTGGTCTAATACAAAGGGTGGTATGTCCCGAGTTGTTTAACACATCTAGATGTGAATACCAGGAAATGAGAGCTGAATTTCTGAACTCTTGTCTCATACTCATCTTAAACCCAAATCTCTTCAGTGAACAACAACAAAACAAAGGAATCTGCCTTACAGTTCCAGGAGGGGACTGTATCTAAACTTCACTTCACATTGAGAAATTAGATTAAAATGCTCTTACATGTATTCTTAGTGATAACAACAGAATAGTATAATATTCTATAGTAATAGGACACAGTGAAAGGAGTCATTCTGCATAGGAGTCGCGTACCTTTTGTTGATAAGCTACTTTAAGTACATTTAGATGATGAAACTTTCAGGCTAACACACTTTACGCCTGCATGGCTGTAGACTCGGCCAGTTTAAAGCAATTACTCAGTAAATAATCCAAGTTGTAAATTATTTTTGAAGTTGACTGGGAAGAGGTAATCTTGCTGGTAAGTGTTAATAAAAAGGATACTGCGGACATATTTCTCTTTGGGCGGGGTTTCAGCGGACGTGAGAGTTTTGCTGATGTTGTGGAGCTGAAAGAAAGGAGACAAATTAGGACTCAACCAACTTCCTTACAAGTCAACTTCAGGCTGCCGCTTGTAGAAATAGAAAAGGCCTTTAATTTAAAACAAAAGGTCAAAGTTGGATTTAGCACAGCCGAGAAGGCTTTAAGTCTGTCTTAAAGCCAAATTAATAGTATAAAAGAGTTCACATTTCCTCTGAAATGTTCAAATTTACATGTTATTTGTGTTAGTGCCCTTTCTAAAATATAAATAGTAATCAAATAGTATGTGTGAGCAGGTAACAAGGCATCACTTAGCTGAATTTAACAAACTGTAAAGCTATATATCGATTCAGGACAAAAGACTTTATGCAGGCCTGAAACTTGTTTAATTTAGCCTTAATCAAAAAAAATAATTACGTACCTGCTGTTTCCCGAACTGCTCTTTCTCCGCAGCCAAAGCCTTTTCCGTCTTATTCTCACTTTTATTCTTCGTTTTGCTCATGTTTGTTACTTTACTCCACGCAAACTAAAAGTTAAATCCACAGAGGTCCGGCTCCAGGTGTCGGCGCCTCACCTGTGCTCTCGTGCTTCTCTAGACCAATGACAGGTGTGCCAGACGCTCCGCGCGCATGCCCCGAACAGATTCCTCTTTTAATTCGCTTTTCGCTTCTTCAAACACATCGTAATCTTCCTTAATAAAACTGACCCTCAAGTACCCAAAGCATTAAAAGCTCTCCAACTTCTCACCCAATGCGTAAAACCGCGTACTGGAGTTTTGGGTTTATTAAAAGCTGCGATTGTCAGACAATAAAACACAGCTGACATGTAGTTTGTATATACATATTTTAGTAAGTAATGACACCATGAACAAGTTACACATTGTTAAGACTATTAACAACCATCAACATCTCCTGAGTCACCAGACAAATCTGTAAGCAGTGAAACTGGAAAGACAATATAAAGACACGCCACTCAACAGCCCTGTAGGACTGGTTTCACATCTCAGTCACTTTAAAAATACACACAATACAGCCTTTAAAAATCTGAGACAGGGTTTTAAAAAATACACAGTATGCATGTTAATCTCAAGTGTACCTCCCCCTCCCCAAAAAAAGTACTGGAAATGCACTGGAACCAAATTACAAACAAGATAATATGGTTTAAAAAAAATTCATGACAGTTTTTTATCATTCAGTTTTTTTTAGCTGTGTGCATAAAAACAGGTTCTGATTTTTAAAACAGTCTCTAGTGCTACATAATTTAGCACATGGAGTCACTTTGGTAAATACATAAAGTTTCCCTGAAAAAAAGAATCTGTGCTTCAGTCTTTGTCAAGAAGTCCACATGGCTGGCAGGTACCATGTCGAGGGCAGGCTTTGGGTGGAGTTTCACAGGCCTGTTGGGGGGGGAAATAATGAAGCTGTTATGTTTTAAACACACCCAAACTAAAAGGAGGAACAGTTCAACCAAACATTGTACACCTTTGATGCCACCACACCCCATGAATACAAATGTAGAGGTTGAGAGGCCCAGGATCATGAAACTCCTCTACCTGTGTTGGAGTAGCTGGGTGGTGGTGGGACGTCTGGCACTTATGAGAGTAAAAGGGGTCAGTGGTCCCACAGCTCATAGTAGGGCCACTGTTGTGTACGGAGCTGTGGGGTCTCGAGCTGCTGGGCTCTGAATTGGCCTCGATGACCTGTCGGGACTCGTCTAACAGCTGCTGTAGAGAACAGCTGGACACAGGGTCACCACCCTGTTAAGAGAAGGAGAGAAGTGATCAGCTGCTTTCTCACTAGGAGTGAGATGAGGAGAAGCTACAGCAAGCAGCTGGTTAGCTTAGCATAATGTCTGTAAACTGCTAGCTTGGCTCTGTCCACAGTAAAGTCCACCTACCAGCACCTCTAAAGCTCACAAATTAAACATGTTATATGTCAAATGTTACATCAGTACAAAAACATAAGACACAAGCAACGAGCAGAGACTCCAGGACGTCACTGCTCCCTGCCAAGAAATAGTTTGACAGATATGCCCCCATAAAACCACCACGTTTTGTTTTTAAACTTTGATTTTTGTACAGATATTGTCCAGAAGAAAAACAGCAGGTAGCAAAACTTTCTAGCCTAATTTATTATTATAATATGTTACTTAAAGTAAGTAAGTAAGTAAACTTTATTTATATAGCACCTTTCACAGACAAGAGGGGTCACAAAGTGCTTCACAGTAAAAAATTTAATAAAATAAAACAAATAAAATAACAACACCATATAAAATACAAAACCATATGGCTAGTTAAATGCTTGTCTAAAAGATGTGTCTTAAGGAGTTTTCTAAAAGCAGGATCCAATGCTCTCAAGGCAAAAGGGAGAGACTTCCAGAGCCTTGGAGCCACCACACAGAAAGCACGATCACCTCTTGTTTTATAACGTGTTCTGGGAACAGTTAAAAGGTCTTGGTCAGAAGACCTCAGAGAGCGACCAGAAATGTGTGCATGCAACAGATCCTGGATGTAAGAGGGACCATGACCATGCAAGGCTCTGTAAGTAATGGTTAAAATTTTAAAATGTACTCTAAAACCAATTGGAAGCCAATAAAAACCATAAGCACAGGTGTAATGTGTGATCTCCTGTTGGTCTTTGACAAAGGTCTTGCAGCTGCATTCTATACAACTTGCAGTTTGTCCATTATTAAAGCAAAGGTTTGACATTTTGAGAAATAAAAAAATAATTTGCTTTCTTGCCAATAGTTAGATGAGAAGATTAATTTGACTAATTAATTTACATCACTGTTCTTAACATGAGGCACCGTTTCCTGCCTTACACCCACAAATTGTGCCGAGAAGATTCCCAGTTCACTGTTGACGGTGCCTCGCAGATTAGCTGCTGGCAGAGCGGCAGCATCATGTAAAGGTCTCGATTTCTTCAGTCTGAGCGATGAAGGTGACGGGTTGTCCAGACAGCAGCATCCGAACTCATCCTGACTGAGACACAAACGAGGACAAACAAATCATTCATATTTTCTGTTCGTGGAGATCCTATAAGATTTAGAGACTATGTGGAATGAGGGAATGAGTGTTGTGTTGAGTTCAAGGTCAGATCAGGAAGTAGACAAGTGAAGGTTTATGTTCCCTGCTCTCAACTGCTCCATGTTTCTCGGCTATTATCATCTGGGTCTTCGTTAATTTGGGTTCTGGCTGCATGAAGGCTGTTCTCTCCGATCACTGACTCAGAGACAGTAGCTTGTCTGCAGCCACAAAATGTGAATAAAACAAATAAAGAAAGCATACCCTAACAGTGCATCACTTATTAATATTCCTGCCATGTTTTCCTTGCACACTATTCACCTGCCAGGCAATCCCTGACTGCTCTTCTCTCTCAGGGCTTCACGGGAACTTTCCAGGTTCAACTGCAAAAGCTGCAGGTCGTTGCGCTGATTCTCACACACCTGCAAAACACACGCAAGCAGCATGATGTGTATATTGAATGATTTATTTACATTTCATATTGTCAGATACAAACTATCCATCAATAAAAGTCAAAGTGGAATAGGGCTGCAACTAACAATTAATTTCATTATCGATCAATCTGTCGATTGCTTTCACGATTTATCGATTAGTTGTTTGGTTTATAAAATAGCACAACAATGTCGGTCGGTGTTTCCCAAAGCTCAAGGTGAAATCACTCAAATGTCTACATATTCACTTTTCTGTCATGGAGGAGTAAAGATTCACATTTGAGAAGCTGGATCAGATAATTTTTAAAGTTATTTAAAAAATTACTCAAAACGATTCATCTAATAATTGACAACCAATTTATTATTCCAGCATTTGTTGTAGCTCTACAGTAGGACGGCAGTTAGGGCGTCTTTATCTTTTGTCTAGTTACGAGAGAGATCCGGCGCTGTAGAGGACAGTTGGCCTCCCAAGCACCTCAGAGAAATAAATAAATTAAACCTTAACTGCATTCTTTGGAAACATAAATACAGTTTTTGCCAACTGAGATCCAAAACACACATATCCGACTTATGATATCGCTCCGCTAGCAACTACAACGCACAAGCTAACAACCAAGTGTAGCTTTGGGGGGTGGTTACATACTCACCTCAAATCACATTTGATTGGATTCATATATGTATAAATGAAAAGAAAAGAGGAACCATGGCATAAGTCAACTTGTTTTTTTCCCCACTATGTCTTTACAAACATGTGATTTAATTTAAAAAATGATTATACACATTTTGTATTGGACATGACAGTGACCCAGAGTCACACAGCCATGGTGAAGAAACACTCTGAGGTATGCTGCCAAACCAGAAAGACATCTCTGACGTCAACAACAACATGCACAGGAGGAACAAGGAAAGTCCTCCCTAAGCTAATTCATACTGCTGGTTGTTTATTTTCTAGCCATGTTGTGAAGCTGAACAACAGACACTGTACCTGTCGTAGGCAGCGGAGCTCTGACACGGTGCGTTCCTGTTTGGAGCGAGCCAGTTCTAGCAGCTCATCTTTCCAGCCGTCTCCCTCCCCTGGTGGAAAGACATCAAGAGCTGCACTTATCTCAGCAGGAACAATTCTTTTTCAGGCCGGGAGGCGTCTGCAAACAACTACTGCACAGATGAAAATCAAGAGACGTAGACTGCAGACATGAAGCAGGATGCTGTTTAGTGCTAAAATCATTAGTCTGAAATCGATCAACAATTCTGATTTGTTTGAAGTTTGACTCTTTCAAATATTGGTTACAAACACGTATAACTTATAATGAATAAGATAATAATGAATCCAATAAAATATGTAGAGAATTATCAAGATCACAAAACACATAAGATCGGTAAAATAACATCAATAAAAAAAACACAACAAACAATTTAAAAACAAACATGCGGTGGATTAATATTCTTAATAAATAAATACATGCAATGAACAAATAAAATCCTACAACAGATAACACTTATGATGACAATTAATAGTTTGGGAACACAGACAGCTAGAGAATTGATTTGTTGTGCTGTAGTTTAATGTACCCGCCAAGGCCAGATCTCTGCGAAGCAGCTGGAGCTCCTGTTTGAGACGGATGATCTCCTCCCTCTGTGTGCTGCTCTGTGTTACCTGCTGCTGCAGCTCCTCTACAACCACAGAATGACACAGGACAGAAGACATATACAGCTGAAATGATTAATAGTTAATTAATTAATTAGGCAATCGAGCCCCTCGTGTTCCAGCTTCTCAAATGTGCAGATTCGCTGCTTTTCTTTGTCATATTTAATGGAAAATTGTTTGTTTGGATTTTGGGCTGTTGATCGAAAAAAAAAAAAAGGCATTTGAAGACATCACCCTGCCCTCTGGGAAATTATGTCACCAGACAAAATGATTAATCAGAAATCAAATCAATCAATAATGAAAATAATTGTTAAGACAATCTACTACAGTTAATTTTGTTTCTTGGCTTTAAGACCGGTGGTATGCTTGAAGTCTAAGGTCTAAGGGAACAGTGCTTATATCTGTTCCAAATGGTCACACCAGGGCATAAAGCCTAACGATGCAATAATTATGTATTCAACATCTACTGTTTATAATAAAATGCCCAAATAAATACTTTGTTGTTTGTAGTCTGATTAAGAGTTTTAAGATGACTGATATAAAGTGTGACACATGTTCCTATGTGTACGTATGGAACTGAAGTTTTACTCATGTACCTTTAAGGTGCGTGACCTCATGCCTGGCCTCTCTATAACGCCGTTTATTTTCCTCTAAGTCTCTCATGAGTTTGTTTTCCTGTGAGCGGCTGTCCGTAAGCGATGTTTCCAGATCTCGTAGGCGCCCTGCGAGGTCGGCTATATGACCCGAGGCTTCAGTCACATCCTTGTCCTGATGGAGGGGGCGAAAAGCACATTTACCAAATAGCAGAATATCAGAAAATCCTACACACAACTTCACTTAATGCTGATCTGTATTTATGGAAATTACACATAAAAACTAGTACCTTGAGTTTGATCAGGGAGCTCAGTTCTTCCTCCCTGACCTGCAGAGAGCCGACTTGAGTGGACAGAGCCATGACTGTGGAGTTGAGACTCTGGTTCTTCTCCTAAAAGACATTACATTCATTTTTACCCAAAGCAACTTATAATTGCAATATATGTCAGAGGTCGCATTCCCCACAACTAGGGGTTAAGTGTCTTGCTCAGGGACACACTGGTTATGTGTCGCAGTCCTACTTTACAAGACTGTTTTCTACTGAGTATGAAATGTATGAGAAGAATTAGTACTTAGTAGTAAGGAATACTTATAGCAAGTAATAATACATAATTAACTTAACATCATTTCATAATTCATTCTTATCCTCCTACATACAAAGACGTCAACTATAAGTCTATGTTTGTAGTAAAAGCAAGAAATGTGGATTAATCCACTGCTTAAAATAGTTCCCAACAAATGCACTATTTCTATTTTATTTTATAGAGAATATAAATGTGTAATAATGTTGAAATGGTACCTCAAAGTCTTCACATCTTTGGCTGATGTGCTGCTGTTTCTGCTCCAGCTCACACAGCTGCTGTCGGGCAGCGCTGAGCTCCTTCTGGACTTCCTCCTCCCTGGTTTCCACCACCCAAACACGTTTAGTCAGGACTCTGATCACCTCATTACGCTTCTGCAACTCATCTGCACAAACAACAAACAATACTTTTGATAGTGGACTAATTGTTTCAGTAATTTTTTACATTCTCAGATTTCCAAAGGTGACAATTTGCTGCTTCTCCTTGTCAAATATTAAACATAATTTAATATTTTTGGCTTTTTAACTGTTGGTAAAGATAAAATAAGAACTGTAAAGACGCCAACATAGGCTCTGGGATGTTGTAAAAGTTTATAGATAAAACAATTAATCGATTTATTAATAAAATAATCAACAGATGAACCCATAATGAAAATACTTGCAGCCCTACCAACCGAAACCCAAACCCTTCTATTCATGATTTATCATTCAGCATTATTTGCAGGTTTTCTACTAAAGCTGGATCTGTTCTGTATCAAATAAAGAAAGATATCTTTTGTGTTCCCAGTGTCCTCACCATCCAAACGGGCGCACCTCTGCTCCAAGCTGAGCACCCTCTGGCGGTCTTGTTCCCAGGCGTGAAGCTGCTTATGATGGGAGGCGGCCATGGCGTTCAGCTCCTTGTCCCGGTCCTTCAGCTCAGCCATCAGCAGCTGCAGCTCCCTCCTCTGCCTCTGGATTGTGGAGCCACTCAGGTCATTCACCGGAAACTTTTGCAAAGCACACAGAGAGACACATAAAGTTAACAGCAGATAACCTTGTTTCCATCTCGCTGGCCATGAATGAACCAATGATGAACCACATATCTGATTTATCATAGGCTTTTAATGCTGGATGTCCTTCCCTATGCAACCCTCCACATTTATCCCGGTTTGGGACTTGCAATGAGGTGCATTCCACATTGCTGGGGAGCAAAATTAATTGACTAGTTGATTGATATAATATGGATCAACAACAATTTTGATAATTGATTAATCGTTGAATTCATTTTTTAAAGCAAAATTGACAAAATTTAACTTGTTCCAGCTTCTAAAATGTGAATATCTGCTGTTTTTCTTGACAGACAATTAAATAACTTTTAGGCAAAACAAGCAATCTCAATTTGTCAGATTGTCATGTGTCCTTTTTACAGACCAATAAATTAATAGGAATATTGGAGAAAATAACTGGCCGACTAATCGATAAGGAAAGTTTAGTTGCACCTTTATTTAGCAATATAAGCAAGTATTTACATTTCTGTGCCAAAACAACACAATTTCAGTAAACTATGTAAACATTTATACTGTTTATATGACTTTTTGTACATGTTCATATTCTGGAAACTATGGATAATGGTGAACAACCAGACCCGAGTTAACTCTAATTAAATAAAACACATTGGTAACGTTGCATGTTTAACAGGTCATATTTTTGTGACACAACTTTAGTTGAAGTGAACGATAAGTTTATTAATCTATGTGTCGAGCAACAGGGGAGAGTTTTTATGATTTTCTTCATCTTAAATGATATTAAACTTTCTTTTCTTTAGGTTATGGAGTGAGCAATCTGAAGAGAAAACCTTAGACTTTATAGATAATTAATCATAAAAATAATCACCAGCTTAATTGATAATGAAAACACTTGATGCCAAACAGTGGCTCACTTCACAAATCTGAGGTAGAACATTTAAAACAATTATGAAAAAATCTTTCTTTAACAAATACACACGAGTAAAATTAAGTAAAATCTTTTTTTCAGTCCTTTATCCTCAACAAAATAAATATTTTAATGGAAAAATTAAGTGCTGATTCAAATTAATTAAATTTAATAAAGATTTATTGAACATTTGTTATATTGTTGTTGAGGAAAATTATATCGCAATAATTATCATTATTGTTTTATTGCCCAGCCCAAATGCAGAGTACAATCTAATATACATTTTACCTCAGCCAGTAACGTGTTGTTTTAGGTGAAAGTTTTATTAATGAAGGACATGTAACATGTACTTCCTGTACTCTTCTTCTTCTTCTATCCTCTTACAATTACCTTGTATCGTTTGCACTTTTTGTTAACTCTCACTTCTTTCCCTAGGTATTTATCCCATTGATGCCATATATGCCATTAGCGCTTACCAGTATTTATTGCTGCTCTTACTAGTATGTATTGTCAGTTGTAGATCTCGTGATGTATTTGATGCTCTGTTGATGCTTGTATGTTGTTCCTCAAATGTAAGTCGCTTTGGATAAAACCGTCTGCCAAATGAGTAAATGTAAATGTATACAGAAAAATACATTAGGTTCTGCTGTAGCTTTCAGAGCGTGGCTGGTGTTTAGCGGGGTACAGTTTGTCAGAAGTGTCATTTACGAAGTGCCAACCGATTAATCGGTCTATCACTAGTGTGGGGAACAATGAACCTGGAGCTTCAGGGTTGGTGCCTGCTCGCCCCCTGTCAGTAATCCAAATTTGATCTCACCTCTGTGTGCTGCGAGCTGGGGGGAAGGAGGGTATCTGCTGGGATGGGAGGAGGTGTTATTGTGGCCCACTGTTTTGCTGTGAAGTCCATCTTGAAGCTGGGTGGGACAGACGGTTGGCTAACATCCAGTGAAGCATCAACATTTTTCTATAAAGTGACACATATACACATCACAACCAGACAACATGATGCCATCTGCATTTATTTAGTATGTGGATTTAACAGACATGTCACTGACCTGCTTAAGAGGAGTGCTGTGCCAGAGCTCAGCTGACGTGTCTGAAACAAAGTCAAAGTGGATGTTGGATGGTTTAAACGTTCCCGTATATATTTCAAACAAATTAGTTTAATGGGACTGTTGTTGGTAAAGACAGTGATGATGGGAGTGTTTACCATTTGACCAGGGGAAAAAGTTTGAGACTCTTCCTAAAGTTCTTCCATTTGATGGGGAAAGTCTTTTCACTTCGTCCATCACATCGTTAACAGTTACCCACTAATATAACACCCAGTTCCTCCGTGTTTCTTCTCCAGCAACCCCCTGCGTTATGTCACCGTCATTGTTGTTGTTTGGAGCATCATCTTCTAGGGGGGCATGGCAGAGTTTGCTAGCTTTTTGTAAAGCTACCGCGAACTCACCGCCTCTGCAACTAAATCTAAAGTTAACTAACACTCAGCTAAATAGGCTAAACAACTTCAACGCGTATATCATTACAAAGACGCTCCAAAACTCACTTTAATATCGTTAGCTGATTGTAAAAATGTCTCTAGAAAACTTAAACTGCTAGCTAATTTAGCTTCTGGGAGAGTTTAACTTTTGAACGTTATTGAGGGAGGGTAGGGGTAAACAGGGATTGGACAATAACGTCACGCCAACGGACTTCCGCAGTTATTTTCTAGACTTACTAAATATATTAATAATTTAAATGATTTTTTTTTTTTAGAGAATATCCTTAATTATATAACTGAGTGTATAATGAGTGTCACTAGTTTTGGAGAACTCGAAGTTAGACTGATTAATTCTCACTTCCGTGTATGTTGACCGTACCTTGAAACACACAGCCTAGAAAGGAAGTTAGCAGACTGTAACGGTGATTTTCAAAATAAAGGTTCCCGAAAAGTACAAATACAGTTTTTTTATTGTCATAAATTTTGGAAAGTAATACTGAAAATGTGAAATTTCAGTCCCAAAAGGCACTCACTCAAACTGTCATTTACTCAACTCAGCTGGTATCAAATTGCATTCAATAATTAATATATTTTCTCCAACATTCACATGATTAAATTGAACCAAATGAATTGAAATGTGTAAGAATGTTTAGATGTGGTTCCTACTGTAAAAACTTCTCACCCTCCCAAACATAAACAGTTCAACATATTCTGCTCTTGCTATCACTAATTAGTAGTGATGGAATATTGGAATATTTTTATGGTACTTATACTTGTCAATGAAACATATCAATCTAATTAATAAATTATTATAGATTAAGCTACCCAGCTGCAACAGCAGTGACGCTTCCTTATTTCCACCTAATTTGTGAAAAATCATGATCAACAATCAAATTATTATTGTATTATTTTTCCATCGATTGACTAATCATTTTAGTTCTAAAGTAAAATTAAATTCTGCTTTTTTAATTTTTTTAATTAACATTTTATTGGTATGTATGACTTATGTCATGAATTAGGCCTAATTCTAAAAAGGAAACATGATACATTATACATATATACATTTAGAAATTATATAGTATCTGTACCAACTTTGCCCTGGATCCTTGTGCGACTACTGTTGGCCAGGCCTGTTTCTCCTCTAACTTGAGAAACAGTAATGGAGCTATACATACTCTGTTTGAAAAAGAAATAGTCTCTGTTACAAATGTTGTTCCTTACTGGAATAACCTTACTACAAATCTGGACTGGAGGAAAATGTGGTGCTTTCCTTCCAAATATCTAATTTTAAATAAGGTTAAGGAAGTGTCTTTTAAAATGTTGCATCGCTATTATCGCTCCAAGGTATTTCTACGAAGATATAAGAAGGACATTGATGTGGACTGCTCATTTTGTCAAATGGCTCAAGAACAACAGCATCATTTATTTTGGACCTGTCCACACTCTTGCACTTTATGGCAAGATATCTGTACATTTATCTCCCAATATATTGACTCTGAATTCTGTTTTTTTACACACCCTTACACCAATGCAAATCATTTCTATATCATCAATTTTATGGTATTGCTGGGAAAATCACATATTCACAAATCTAAGCTCCCCATCCATAAACCTTCCTTTGCCATTTTTGAAAACGTAGTCAAACATTACATTAAGACAATCCTATACTTACTTACCTATATTTTCTGTCAGCCCTATGCTCCCCTGGTATTGTCTGCTCTTGTGTATTATGTGTTCACCATACTGTTTGTTAAAAAAAAGCATCAATAAAAACAATCTCTTGTTCCACCCTCCAGTCCAGATAGAGGCGGTAATGGGTCTCCGGTCTCCAAACTAGTTTGCCAACCGCCATTAAACCCTGAAAAAGAAGAAGCAGCAGCAGCAGCAGAAGAAGAAAAAGAAGAAGAAGTGCTCTTCCTCCGAGCACCAGGGGGCGCTGCTGCACGTTAACGCTGCGCATCAGTCGCTTTAGCAACTAAAGCAAGAAGCGCTACTAGGCGTGCTCAAAGTACGCCTTCTGAACCTTATTCAATAAGAATGGTTTTCTAAAAGTCAAACTAAAGTTAATAATGCGAGCGGCTTTACTGACCAGACAGCAGTTTTAAGAGTATATTTCCCGGGGTATGTAAGTCGACATTTCTTATATCTTTATCCAGTTATTCAGCAGCAGAGCAGTTAGCTCAGTTAGCATGCTAAGCTAAGGTGCTAACGGTGACAGCTGGGTGAGTCAACCTGATGAATGAAACCACAGAAACTAAACTCGGGGATATATATTATGTTTGCAGCAAGGTGCAGTTTGTCTACATGTTGATACTATCCACGTGATATTTAAATATATGTCATTATATAACAAGTATTGTTACTAAACGGTGTGTTTTTAAATCACCCGCATGTGTTAGCCAGCCAAAAGCTAACGTTAGTTCTGCTGATTTCTTGAAATGATATCAAGCCAACTGTTAAATGCTCTGCTGCAGTTGTGCATTAAATTAGCCCCATGTGGGCTCACATAGGAGCTATTTCAGTTCACAAAAGTCTGTGTCATGGTGTTAGCTAGCTGCTGCTCATGTGTCCGAGCTGTGCTGACAGTAAATTGGCCGAGCAGGCTTGCATGATGAAATATTGGTTCACTCATGCCTCAGTGATAATAATAAATCTGAAGATATTTTATCACTTTAGGTGTTGATGTGGCGTGCAAATGTTAGGGTTTTGTCCATTAATTTATCTTATAGTATCATTTACACCAGTCTACACTTAGGGATATGTTCACCAGTGTTATCAAGATAAAATATTTCATATCATTCGATATTCATAATTATCACAATAAATGTCAAATCATTATTTTTTTTCTAGTTTAAAGGCAGATTTTTTGAGTTAAAATTGTAGAAACCAGAGGGTTAAATGTGGCTTTAAACTTTTCTTTATGGTCAGAACAAACACTTTTAAAAAACCTGAGGCAGAACATTGAAAACTATTCTGATAAAATATTTTTTCAACAAATACACAGGAGTTAAATAAAGTAATATCTATTTTTAGTCAGTTTTCCTCAACAAAATAAATGTCTTCAGTCATAATGTGCTTGTCACCAAATATAATACTTTTATATATTTTGTGCAAAGGTTCAAAACAAAGACTTTATTGAGTAAAACTGTACAGAAAAAAGGTGATATTTCACACAACAAATGTATAATTTCATGAATTAAATGAAGTATTGATGAGCTGGACACAGGTTTTTATTATTTTATATTTGGGCTTAAGGAGGGTGTCAAGTCAGTTCAAGTCAAAAGGCTCAAGTCCAAGTGAAGTTACAAGTCATTGGTTTTAAAGTCGAGTTGCGAATGTAAAGTCATCATTTTTGTGACTGCAGTCTGACTTGAATCCAAACTATGAGCAGAGCTGAAGCTAAGACATTCATTAGAACATGAATAATACATGCACAGTCAGTGTAGCAGGAGTATTGAGATGATGATGAAACTGGAAGACTCATAATTGAATGAATTAAATCATACAATTATTGAACATTTGTTAAATTGTTATTGAGGAAAATAATTTTGCGACCCAGCCCGACCTTTAATTTGTTTCACAGTATCATTTACAGTAGTCTACTCTGTATGTGTCCTGTGCATTAAATGTGTCTTGTCTTTTTATCCAGATAATTGAGTGATGGCTACTACTGAGATGGAATCTGGTTCTTCAGAAAGCAGATCAGAGCATGTGACTTATGACCCTGATTCGAAATACCCACTTAAAGTTCTTTACTGTGGAGGTATAACATTTTACTTAGTTTGGCATATTTGAGATTAAGGCTGCACAATTAATAGATATATTATCAAAATTGCAATATGGCCAAGTGCAATGTCCAAATAGCGGATGCTGCAGTTGTTTTTGATGAAGGTTAAATTCTGTGACAAAACAGCATTATAAGGAAATACTGTAGTGCTGCAGAGCTGCCTGTTTGAGATGTATTTTGGTGCCTTTTTTAAAATGTGATCGTGTAACTTTTTTCCCTTCTCTCTCTGCAGTTTGCTCTCTGCCTACGGAGGTAAGTTTTATTATCAAACACTTAGGATATTCTCTCATGTGGCCCAGTTCACTAAAGCAGTGGTTCTCAAAGTGGGGTCTGGGAACCCCTACGGGTCCTTGAGGGCTCCATGAGGTCCCCAGCAAAAAGGGGAATCTCTTTTTTCCCCCACTATAATTCCATCCATAAGTAACACAATGATAGAATATGACTATTTTGGTCATGCGTTTCATATACTCGCTGTAATTAAACAAGCAAAAGCAAAACCTCTATCAGATGGGGGTACATGGTCTAATTTGTGTCAGTTTAGGGTCCTTGATGTGAAAAAGTTTGAGAACCACTGCCCTAAAGATCTTACAAATATGCCGTTTGAGCAGTTCTTTAAGGTATAACTGAATCTTCACTGTTGTGTCTGCAGTACTGTGAGTACATGCCTGAGCCGGCCAAATGTAGGCAGTGGCTTGAGAAGAACTTTCCAGATGTATTTGCCAGGATGACTGTAGGAGGTGAGTGCCATTTTAAGATTTCAGCCAACAATATTTTTCTTCAGTTGTTATGTGGGACTAAATAGTTTGGTAATGTTGTGCTACAGCCTATGTTTGTGTATTCCTGTCACTTAAAAGGCTGCACTACATAATAATAACGGCGTGTTTAACCCATAATAATAATACTAGTAATAAACATAATAGATTTGACTTTTATAATGCTTTTCTAAGTACTTAAAAATGGTTAGATCAGCATGATATATCATTAGTAATCAAGAGGAGAAAACAGGATATCCTTAAGGTGTGAGATTTAGTTAAATTTTACCGTTTTCCCCACTTTCCAAGAGTCAGTAGCTAATAAATTTGTTAGGAGACACCTTTTTTATGCATTTGGTGTCGTCTGAAGTTGTTAGACAGCAATATTAGGCTATCGTGCCTCAACTGCTGAGTGGAGCAAAAAACATAATCATGATCCCATCTAGGACTTGAGCAAAACTAACCAAGTAAACTAAGTGGGGGTGCCTTTTTCCAAGCTTTGTCTGAGGAGAGGCCCACAATTTTAGACTTTGAAACCTCCTGCTCTATAACAGCTTATTCCTGCTCTTCACTGCAGCTACATGATATTAAATCCAGCACTTTATGGTTGAATTTAATTAAATATAATTTAAATAAAAGGCCATTAAGTAGAATTTTTCTTCTTGTCTTGTGCATCATTTTATACACATTTCCCCAAAAGTCAACCAGATGTACTGGAACAAAGTTTGGCTGCACAGCATGAGTTTGTAATGACTGAGTGGGTCAGTGGGGTTTAAGAGATTAAACACATTTTGATTTTTGAGTGAAGAAAGTACGCCTTCAGTTTGTTAGAGCTCTGCATTGTTTGCTTACCCACAGGCATTAATCACAGCGTAATAGATTTTCATGTCCAGCACAAAACACAGGGTAAAAGATCCACTTCAGAAGACCCCAAAAAGCTGTGTATATACTGTAAATGCAGCAGTCTCACTGGAGAGCCCTAAAGCTGTGAACGATTTTACTCCAAAACAAGAAGAAGTTATATAAAATTTACATTATTAAAGTCACAAATTTGTGAATGTGTACATTTTAGATCAAAGTCTGACAGTATAATGTTTGTTACAGTGTGTGCAGAGTGACAAATGGAGTCGTCATGAGGTTAAATCTGAGGTGTGAAAGTCTATAATGGTGTTACACTTAAGGAAACACAGCCACAGCTAGTTTAGCCGGTATATCCAGGTTTATACATATAGTACTTATCCAAAAGGTTGTTGCCGGATTAGTTTTAATGTTTTTCTATTTTCCTTCTGTCCTACTGGCCCGGCAGCGAATGCACCCAGGCAGGACCCCGGCATTGGAGATGCTCCCCCTGGAGGCGAGGAGGAGGAGAAAAAGAAACAGAAGAGAGGTATGCTGTCAAGTATAAGGACATTTTGAATCGATGTTATTAGGCTTATTATAGGATGCTATGGTTTTTGTTATACATTCAAATATTGCAGTACCCTCCACAATGTTTGGGACAAAGGCATGGCTTTTTAAAGATGATTTGCCTCTCTGCTCCACAATTTTAGATTTGTAATCAGGCAGGTCACACGTGGTTAAAGTAAGCAGTGTGAAAACTTTATAATAGTTGGAATAGTTTTCTATTTTCTCAGCCGTATAATGGTGTTCCTTGACTTTTTTATTAACACAGCTGTGGTCCTTATGTTGACTAAACAGAACACCACAAGGGGACCAAAAGCATAGACTGCTGAGAGCTTCCTTACATATGCTCTATAGCAGCAATTAAACACACTCGAGTAATCACAAACACCTGTGAAGCCTTTGTCCCAAACATTATGATGTCTGGACATAGAGAGAGGACTATGAAAAAAGTGCTGTAATTTCTACATGGCAATAGCAAAATGTTTAAAAAATGCCTTTAATAAAATTTGGGAATGTAGGCTGTAACCACATGTGAAGGTTTGATTACAAATCTAAAACTGGAGTATCAAGGCAACAAACACTATGGAGGGCACCGTAGTTCTAGGTGCCAATCGAAAGTGTTTTCATAGGATACCTGCCTTGTTTAAGTTTTAATCCTGGAGATTTCAGTCCTCATGGATTTGGTGACAACTGTTGTAACTTCTGGTAACGGCGGGTGTGGTTTAATATGTAAAACACCTCATTGTGTAGCTGCTTTGTCTGAAATAAAGAGGTCAGTAAAAATACTTGGAATTGCACAAGGCATGCAAAGTCTTCCGAACAGCAGCAGGGCACAATAACAGTTTTGGTAAGTTTTCTGAGAAGGTGAAGGTGTGCAGCTCACTGTGGCTGTTCCTCCTTTTTCTGTTATTCCTATTTAGACATATTTAAAAAAAAAAAAAAACCCACAAAAAACACAGATCTATCAGAAAAAGCCAAAAGCAACTGTTTTGGAGACACACTGAACCATCACTAGCCTTTTGTCACAGTCAGTTAAATGATTTTCATGTGAATCCGCAGCAGTAGGACATGTTGAGTTAGCATTATCAGTAACTCAATACAGCTCTGTTACGGCTGTAGGAGAGGGAACATGAGACGCTGAAACTGATAGCAGTGAAATAAAATTAAACGGTAACGCTGAATTACATCCTGCATCGTTTCCTGTGAAGCCATCATTCTTGTGAAGGCAATTTGAAACCAGCTCAGGATTCAATTAAAACCACTGCTACTTATAGCTAGTAAGCAACCCTGGATAAATGACAGCATTCACGGCCTAAAAAGGCAATGCAGGAAACCAGAGTGGAGATGGACATAATCCAGTCTCCATGTCCATTACGTCAGCCTGAAGGATTTATTAATTAACTACAATAACATGGTTAAGGATGCAAGAACACACTATTTTTTCTGAACTCATTACTACACATAAACACAATCCCAGGTTTCTGTTTAAGACAGCTGGTAAACCCAACGCCTCCTTGTGCCTCAGCTGGAAGTAATGATGACTGTTTTTTATCTTATTTTACCAATAAGGTGGTGTCAATCAGAGCCTCTATTACCCCTGTGGCCTTTTACTCAGAGGTTCCTCACCAGCAACAAGAGAGTTTTAACCAGTTTTATCCCATCGACTTGTCTGAGTTTTTAAAAACAGTATCACAAATGAGAGTGTCCTCCAGCCCACTTGATGTAATACCTACAAAATTTTTACTGAAAGTAATGGATTCTGTTGGGCCCCATTTGATCTGTTTTCAACAGCTCCCTATCTACTGGTTGTGTCCCTGATTATTTTAAAACGGCTTGCGTGAACCCACTTTTAAAGAAACCTGGTTTAGATCCCTCCCTCCCCACAAAATTTTAGACCAATTTCAAAACTGCCTTTTATTGCAAAGATTCTAGAAAGAATTGTGTCCAAACAGCTGCTCACTGTACTGGAAAATAACAAATTATATGAAAAGTTTCAGTCTGGTTTTAGGAAGTACCACAGCACTGAGACTGCCCTGCTTAAAGTCACCAATGACCTTTTAATGTCTGCTGATGAAGGCATGTGCTCAGTCCTGGTACTCCTGGACCTTAGCGCTGCTTTTGACACCATTGATCACAACATCATGTTAGACAGACTGAGGCACTGGGTGGGGATCTCTGGTACTGCCCTAAAATGGTTTTCATCCTACCTGTCAAATAGGAAGTTTTGTGTGTCTGTAAACAACTATGTCTCTTCGTTCTGTCCAGTTAAATATGGTGTGCCTCAGGGGTCGGTCTTAGGACCCATTTTGTTTGCCTTGTATCTGCTTCCCCTTGGACACATTATCCATAAACATGGCATTTCTTTTCATATTTATGCTGATGACACACAAATGTACTTGCCCGTCAGAACCACAGACCCTGGAATGCTGAGTTCACTTACCGACTGCCTTTGTGAAGTTTGATAGTAATTTAAATTTCGAGCAGCACACCACAAAGCGTGTTCAATCCATGTTTTTATCAACTTAGATCAAATTTTTGCTATATTTCTATGTCAACTTTTAAGGACACCGAAACCATTTTACATGCCTTCATCTCGGCTGTGTCAGTGAACTCTTAAGTCCCTTCTTAAAACATACTTTTATAGGAGAGCCTTTCCCGATCTTATTTGACTTTATTTTATCCCCTCTTTTATTCTATTTATATTATATTTATCTATTCTATCTATTTATGTATTTTAGTCTTTTCAATTTTTTCTTGCTTTTATCTTGTATTGTTTTTGTATTGGTGTCTTTACACTTGTTAAAGCACTTTGTAACTTGTTTTTGAAAAGTGCTCTACAAATAAAGATGATTATTGTTGTTTACACTACCGGTCAAAAGTTTTAGAACACCCCCATTTTTCTAGTTTGAAAATACAAGTAGTTCAAGTCCAGTGAAAAAACCTTAGATGGTACTAAAGTAAGCAAACTGTCAGAGTTAAAATGTTTGTCACCAAAACAAACATTTTCAGATAAAAAAAAATTAACAATTAAAGAGTTTTATTTATTATTTCACTGTAGGATCAACCGATGACCAGCTGCTCTGTCTTCCTTCAATAATATTATATATAATAAAGCTTCTGAGGGTGTATGAACAGGCTGTTTGTGTTTACACTTTCACTGATGCAGAATAACCAAAGTTTATATTAGCAAAACTGTGAAATAATGTAATTTTCAGGGATCAATAACAAGTTAACAAGTTGTAAGTTATTCTCCAGCAGTGTAAGGAAATTAAGTCTCAAACACATTTCTACATTAAACACTTTGGAACAGCCTGTTAATACACCCTCAGAAGCTTTATTATATATTATGATATTGAAGGAAGAAAGACCAGTTGGTCATCAGGAGATCCTACAGTGAAATACTTATTAATTATATATCTATTTGGTAACGTAAATGTTTTTTTTTAATAGCAGAACCTTGTTCAGGATGGGAGCTGGCAGTTTGCTGTGTGGGTGTTCCAAAACCTTTGACCGGTAGTGTAGCTTTCAGTAAATCTAAGATAAATTTGGACCCATGGCAAACATGAACTCAATAAATCTAGTAAACTGCATTTGTGGAATTGGGTGCTTTTGACCGGGGTCCTCCTGGACCTCAAAACATCGGTATATTTAAGTGTACCTCTAGGGTCTGCGGGTACACCAGTCAGTATGATTAAGGTTTTCTGGGTTGTTTTGTGTTTTTCTTCAGGTGGAAGAGGCCAGATCAAACAGAAAAAGAAGACTGTGCCTCAGAAAGTTTCGATAGCAAAAATCCCAAGAGCCAAGAAAAAATATGTCACCCGTGTGTGTGGCCTGGCAACATTTGGTAAGAGTTTGGTGATTTTTATTATCCTCATCTTTGCCTAAATCCCTTTCTGTTCACGCTGTTTTCTCAACATAACGTCTGTATTGTCTCCTGCAGACATCGATCTAAAAGAGGCTCAGCGGTTCTTTGCCCAGAAGTTCTCTTGTGGTGCCTCAGTTACGGCAGAGGATGAAATAATCATTCAGGGAGATTTTACAGATGACATAATCGACGTCATTCAAGAGAAGTGGCCTGAGGTGAGCTGTTTAATTATTTTCCAACAAATTCAGTCTTTAAATGGTTCGTCTTGCCTCGTGATTTGTCTTTGTTCGTTTATTCACTCATTTCTGTTTTGCCCTGAACTTCATTTTCGCTGGATGACGCAGAGCTGGCATTTAAAATATAATTTTGGACTATGTTGGAGCCTCTCTGTGCCCACGCTACTAAAATATGTGAGATAGTTGGCGTGAGGAGAGGGAGGATTTGGCCGGATCTTTGAGAAGAAAGTCTTTATACTTGAAGCAGTTCAAAAAACAAAAGATAAATGTCAGGACAGTTGAAACTGAGCAGGCTTCTGATATTTTCCACCAGTATATTTGTGATCAAAGCTGTTGTATTTCGTGGCTAAATAATAGAGCCTGACCGATAAATCGGTGTGCCGATATGAGCTTATGGCAGATTAATCGGAATCTGCGTTTATAACAGCCGATAAATGACAAATTTAAAAAAGAAACAGGAAGACGGGCCCTTAAATCATGTTATGAGTGTTGTCGTTGAGTTTGTCCCCTTATTGCAACACAGGTGTTTGGAACAGCACAAAACACAACAATCAACTGATATCAGTATTTAAACTGCATCATATCATGGCTTAGATATCGGCTTATATATTGGATCAAACAGAAAATTGGATTTTAAATCCTCAAATTGCAAATCTGTATTAAAAATCCCATATCGGTTGGGCTCTACTAAAGAATACAATACTGTTGCTGATGGTTATAAAAATAAAACATTAACAGGGGAGTCTCCTTTTAAAGAAAATTAATGATTAGTGTGGGGTTTTTAAAAAACAAATTGTCAACAAATCCATGAAAAGCCCTAAACCACACTTTTCCACCTCCGGAGCCCATTGGTTTCTATTGAAGATGTAAATTTTTAATTGGGTCACAGAAATAAAATTTTGTTCATGAAAATTGCTCGGTAATTTCCCAATAAAGGCTGGTCGCTGTAGTTTTTGGTAAACAGTAAAAATAGTAAATTTTTTGGGGACTATTTTCAGTGGTGGATGAATACACATGTGGTGCATTGGTGAGTATTTGGGGCAGCAGGACGGTGTGTGAGTCAGAATAATCTACAGTGTGTGTTCATGGTGATGAAGGAATATGTCACCCAGTGCAGCAGTGAGGCTCACTGATGGGTCTTAATAGTTCCTGGACAACAATGGAGCTGTATGGCTCAGAGGGAGAACAGATATTAGGATATATGCACTGTTGGCTTTTGTCTTTTCATGAGATTGGTTGACAACAAAAATATAGAATATCACCAGATTAATCCTTTTTAAATTTCAAGTGGTGGAAGAAGAACTCAATCCTTTAAAGTGGGGTCGTGTCCCCACCACTTCTTGAAAGCATTTGTTAAAAGTGTTCTGAAAATTAGCTTGCAAGTTCAAGAAATTTCAACTAATAAATGAAAATGCTTTGAGAAATAAATAAATACAATTTTAATATAGAATAAACATTGTCCAAAAAAGTAACTTAAGATAAAAAAAAAACAAAACAAGTTATTGGTTACTTCAATTTATTTAATTACATTTTTAGATTTTGAATTGTCGCCTGCTACCTGAATTTTGTGTTTCCCTTTATATAGAGAAATTAATTTCCATCATAAATTACTTAAATTGGAGATTAAATGTATGTAATCTATTTATTTTAGCATTGACTATTTCTTAAATAGTGTAGCAATACCATAATTTAGAAACGCTCCATTACAAGAAAAGGTCCTGAATTCAAAATGTTACTTACAGAAACATACAAAATGTAAAATTACTCAAAATGCAGAATGGCTTCTTTTCAGGGTGTTTTTTTTTTTTTTTTTTTTTAACTATAGAATATTATATTGCTGTTTTTAAATCCCTTCCAAATACATGTAAGAGCATTTTAATGTTGCAGTTTGTCAATGTGAAGCCTATTATAGCCTACATAGATGCTGTGTATACATCTGGGTGGTATAGTAGTATAGAAGGGCATCATATTATGAGCACACGCGTCAAATAAATGTAGTGGAGTAAATAGTACAATATTTCCTCTGAAACAATAATGATAAATGTACTTTATTTTCCCATTTAGAAAACACTGAGTTTGTTCTGTGTGTCTCTCTGTTGCAGGTGGACGACGACAGCATTGATGATCTGGGTGAAGTGAAGAAGTGAAGACCAAATATGCACTTTTACTGAAATGGATGTGACCTGTAACAGCGACAACCTGGCCAAATGTACACATTAAGTCATTTTATACCTATTTTATTTACTGTTCATAACAAAGCTGCGGACTTGGGCCACTCCCTTGGCATTTTTTTAGTTAATAGCTGCTTTCTCTCGTTTTGCCAAAGGTGTGGTATGACGTGAATCCCTCCCAAATGTTCTTCACTCAAGCAAACTGTAGGGTAATAAATTTCAGTCTCCTTCGCCTGTTCACTCACGTCTTCTTTCAAAGTTTGTTTTTTCTTTTCTTTTCAATGGGTGTGTGTCAAAAAAAAGAAAAAAAAAAACATTAAAGGATTTCTTTTTCAGGGTTATAATTTGTTTGTAGTCACCTGCTTTATGTGAGTCACTTAAATGGCCGCAGGTTACTTGTTTTTCAGGCATCCCACACTTAATTCCCATGAGTGAACCTATTCCCCTGCATAATAGTTTTATAATGAGGGCTCATTCCCCAGACAGATAACATTTACAGTTGTTTCCATGCTCCTCTGGGTCAATACCACTTCCCCAAAGATAACGCACAATGCACAGATGTTCGCTCCACATATGAATTTGCATGTTTGTCTGAGAATCATTTTCATGAGCGCAAACATGATTCCCAAGAAGAAGTCACCTGATACAGCATATCTATGTTGACACTATATAGAGCAGCAGATTGGTGTTTTGCTTCAGTGACGGTTCACAGGATGAATCTCTCTCACTCTGACGTCTGCTGCGCCTTTGAGGCTCCCATCCTGGACAAGGTTTTGCCTCCGATTCTGATCTTGGAGTTCATGTTTGGACTGATGGGGAACTTTGTCACCCTGTGGATGTTCGTCTTTCACATGGACACATGGAAGCCCAACTCTGTGTACCTGACTCACCTGGCTGTTGCCGACTCCATTGTGATGTTCTGCCTACCTTTCAGGGCCGACTACTACAGGCGTGGAAAAAACTGGCTCCACGGTGACGCCATGTGTCGCATCCTGCTCTTTCTGCTGGCAGCCAACCGAGCTGCAGGTATCTTCTTCCTCACGGCCGTGGCTGTTGACCGTTACTTCAAGATTGTCCACCCGCTGAACCGGATCAACCGAATGGGCCTGGGCTATGCTCTCTGGGTCTCCCTCGGCCTCTGGGGTCTTATTTTTCTTGCCACCGGTTATCTCCTTGCTAATCAGCACTTCTACTATAATAGCAACCGCACACAGTGTGAGAGCTTCAACATCTGCATGGGCAACAGTCCCCTCTCCACCTGGCACAACACTTTCTATGTCGTCCAGTTTTTCCTGCCAGCTGCGATCGTCGCTTTCTGCACAATCAGAATAACGTGGCAGCTGAGGAGCAGGACTGTGGACAAAAAGGGGAAAATCAAACGGGCCGTTCAGTTTGTGTTGGCTGTGGCGTTGATCTTTATTACCTGTTTCTTCCCCAGCACTATATCACGCGTGGCTGTGTGGATCCTCAAGGTATGGTATGATGAATGCAAGTACTTTGAGGAGGCCAACCTCGCCTTCTACACCACAGTGTGTTTCACCTATTTCAACAGTGTCCTCAACCCGTTGGTGTATTATTTATCTAGCCCTGCCTTCAGCGGCACCTTCAAGAAGCTCCTGAATAAACTGCTGAGAAGAAATGACGATCAGACAGATTTAACTGAGAATGACCTTTCCACTGCTGATGGTAGAAGATTATAAGCCAGGTGCTGTTGTGTTCCCTGCCAACATTGCAGTTTAACAAACAATGTTACATGAATGCATAATGCACACAACATTTCTAATATCCTAGTTAAAAACTACAATAAAATGTAGAGAAGAGGTTTTGCTGTGATCTGGAACAACAAAATGACACACCTTAAATAATTAGCAGCTTACTGCTGTGTACTTTTAAAGGTTTAACCTATAAACTCTTGTGAGTGTGGTTGCTGTGTTTGCGTAATATGCCATTAATGAGTTTTAAAAATACTAGAAATTGCAAGGTTACCTTGTAAAATATGCTCTGCAAACACTTGTAAAATAAAAATGTGATGTGTGTATTCACTTTTTCTGGGTAAGGTAGTTCATATAATACTATCTTTTGTAGTTGATGGTCAGTCAAACTCACTGTGAACAAGAAAACTGATTTTCTGCCCCCCAGAAAGATAATAGTTACATTACAAATCAGTTGAGAAAAGTTTTATGGGAAGCCGTTTTAACATTTTTTCTTTAAGACGTACTGGTCGATGTAGGAAAGCTGCTAATACTATATTAGTCACTAGTAACTATTCCATTAGTTACTAGTTTTACTAGAGTTTTGCCATTGATCATCAATCAAGCTTAGCAGTCCAGATATCTGTTCATTAGTTACTAGTAACTATTTTCATTTTACTAGTATCTATTATGTAGCTACTAGTGCTTTTTTAAGTTACTAGTAACTATTCCTATTAGTAAAAATTTAAATGTTACTATCAACAAGCCATTTTACCAATCATTAATAAATGACTTGTAACCCAAAAATGTGCTAGTATCTTTTGGAATAGTTAATAACAAAAAAAAAGTACTAGTATCTAATCGCTTGTTACTAGTAATACAGGAATAGTTACAGGTAACTTATAAGTACTAGTAGGTTTTAAATAGTGTCTAGTAAGTTGTAAGGAATAAATGTTAGATAATTTCAGAGCTGTCAGTGAACTGTTGGTCAACTCACAAACCAAACATCCTCTGCAAATTGTGAAGTTTTGTGTGATACCTGATTCAAGCAGGGCAGCGAACTCGCAGGTAATTTCAACTAATACTATAAAAGCAATGTATTTTTCTTCCTATTATTTGTTTTTACTGTGGTCATTCTGTGTGCATATATTTGTGCACAATTTAATTTCCAGTGTCTGTATCCTGTCAGATTATTGTGTTCAGTAAATAAATTAAACATAGAGGATAACCAACAGTACAGTAACAGTACATATTACTTGTGCGAATTATACAATGAAAATCAGGGGGGTCTACATATTTCAAGTTTGTAAAAGAAACCCAGTACAGCACAGGCTTCAGGGAACTAGAGTCTTGCACTGATTTACAATATTCTTCTTGCTTTTTAATCACTACCAAATACATGTATAAGCATTTTAATGTTATAGTATAGTTTGTCAATGTGAAGCCTTTTATAGCCTACGTAGATACTTTGTATACTACTGGGTAGATTAGTAGTATAGTATTGCATCATATCATATATAAGCACATGTGTCACATAAATGTAGTGAATTAAAGAGTACAATATAGTTACAGAAATAGTTACCAGTAACAAAAAATTAAGTACTAGTATCTAATCAATTGTTCAACTAGTAAAACAGAAATAGTTACTAGCCACTATTAAATAGTAGCTTTTAAATAGTGTCTAGTAAGTTTTAAGGAATAAAAAGTGTATGTAAATAGTGTAGAAATACCATAGTTTAGAAATAGTCAACTACAAGATAAGGTCCTGAATTCAAAATGTTACAGAAGTAATAAAATATAAAATGTATCATGCACAATGGCTCCTTTTACTGTTTTATTATTATAGAATATTCTATTATTCTGTTTTTAATCACTACCAAATACATGTATGCACATGTGTCAAATAAATGTAGTGGATTAAAAGGCACAGTATTTCCTCTGAAATGCGGTGGCTTAGAGGTATAAAGTATCATAACATGGACATACTTAAGTGAAATGTTGACATACTTCTACTTTAGTTAAGTAAATGTACTTAGTTACATTTCACCACTTTACACAGCTAAGACACTTTATTTTCCCATTTAGAAAACTAGTGTTAAAATACTTTTTTTTTTTCTCACCCCTAATCTGAGCCCTTATGTTCCCACCACTTTTTAACACAGAGTGATGCCCCTGGACCATCAGATCCCCCCCCCACCACCACCACCCCCCTAATTCGAACCATGCTTACGTGCCCTTTTCATTTGAGTTTCGTATCTTTTTCGACTAGAGAAGTCATATTTACCAGTTTATGTATGGTCCCGTGAAGGCAGCATTAGTTCCCGAGGTGACGTCATGCTGGGGCTGGGCTGGGAAGGAAAAGCGGTTGGAAAAACATGTAGCGGTGCAGCTACCAGCCCGCGACACCCCTACTGAGACCCAGTACACCAAAGGAGACCAAGTAAGCCTCCACAGAACTTCTTTCCACACCTGTCTGAATTTTATTTCGCTTTAATATAATCTCAGCAGGCCGTCAGTTGTCTCACATTAACCCCAGGTTCTGCTTTAACGGTAATCTGAAGCTAGCTAGCTTTGGCAGTTAGGAGCGCATTCCAGCAGGAACCGGAGGTAACTACCACCAGCACACTGACATAAAATGACAAGTTTAAAGCAAATGTAAATCACCCTGCCCGATAATAAACCTGGCGTTGTGAGATTAAATATGTAGGATGTTGAGGAAGAAGTGTTAATAGCTCCAGAGAGGCAGCAAGTGAGAACGAGCCCAGCCCAGACACAAACAACACTATATCTGTTTGTCGTGTAACGCCACAGCAGTGATTTATACATGATTTATTGTTTATATCTTGTAAAGCTGGACTGACTGTGTGAGGATAAAGATAACTCAGGGTAGCGTAAGATGCTTGCAGGGACTCTGGAGCCTCAGGATGAGGTTTGACAGCTCTGGGTGTGCTTGTTGTTTTGGTCTGGCAGCACCTGGGGGGCGGAGGGAGCAGCGGTGAGCTAATGTTCCAGCTTCTCATGTTACCTGGACTTTGCATGGGATTAGTCTGAAACATATACTTTTTATTCTGTGTTACCAACAAACTGTGAATCAGAATACTCTTTAACTCTTTGTAATTCTTTGTAACAGATACTTGCAAGGCATAAAAGGAATAGAAACAACAGTAAAAGTTGGTAAGTAGAGTAAAGTATAGAAATCTAATAAAATAATAAATGTAGATATTTACAGTATTATACAATATTAACAGAGGTGTAATGATAAATAGCAATATAGAGTAGTAGTATTCAAAATATGCAGTAAGACAAATTAAGTCAGTCCTCATTATCATCAGAGTAAAACATGCTTTTATTGGATGGAAATCTGTGAAGATACCAGCCACAAATTACGCTTCAGCACTAGAGCTTCAATGATTAATCAGTTGTCAACTAATCTACAAACTATTAAATTAATCGCTAACTATTTTGAGAATTGATTAAGTGGTTTGAGTAATTTTTTAATCTTCTTCTTCTGCTTCTTAAATGTAAATATTATCTGCTTTATTTCCTCCTCTATGACATGAAACTGAATATCTGGCTTGTGGACAAAACAAGACAATTTGAGGACATCATCTTGAGCTGTGGGAAACACTCATTGAATTCACAATATTCCGACATTTTATAGTCCACAACAACTAATCGATCAATCGAGAAAATAATCCACAGATTAATCGCACCTACAACACTCAAGTTTTCAGACACCATGGACGGATTAAACGGATTAAACTGCCAGGGTGACCCTGGGGCAAAAATGAGCTGTGGTGCCCCTTAGCCCCATTGATTACCAATACCTTCGAGTCACATATCTAGGTAACTGTAAAATACTCTGAGGCTACATCCACACTACCATGTTTTGTACTAATACGATCTTTGTCCACACCAGCATTTTAGCTGCGTATCAGAATTAATCTCTGTCTGTATTAAGTCTTAATTATGGGGGTCAGACCCATATTTGTCATACCTCCAAACTGCTGACCCCTTGTTTTTAGATCCCTCCCATGCTATGTTAACTCTGCCAGCTATATGTTCCGGTCTCCTGGTGCACTGCTGACGCATCGTGATGTACGCACATAATTAAATTTAATAGGTCGAGCCCTTGTCACCGATACCTGATCCAGTTATTTGAGTCAGTATTAACCAGTATCCGAGATCGATATCAGATTGATGTATCTTTACCTTTTGTGACAAAGCGTCGCTTGAGGCAACAGCAGTTGGGGCTGAAGACTGCAAGTCTGAAAATGGAAAATATCTGCAAGTTTGGAGCTTACCAGACATCTGTAGCTGCCCGCTCCTTATCTCTACTAGAAGCTAGTAGCTCTAAGCTACATTAGCCGCTCCAAAGCATAAAACACCAGAATCTCAGACTGAACTATTGGCCGTCAAGTTGCACTGTGGATAATGTAGGTGCCAGGTTTTGACAAGGAAGTAGAATGCATGAAATTAAAAAGACGACATCTCTGATATCTCCGGTTCTGCTGCATCAATCGTGTTTGAGAACTGGCCATTGTGAGTCCAACAATGTTTTATAATAAATCGGCAGTGTAGAGTGTGAAATGTTGAAACACAGCTTTTACTACCTCTTGACCTAGTTGCACTCCGAGTGAATCATCTGCTTTCTAAATGAAATGGCTGTGTGGTCAGGCAGCTGCCCAACACCTACAAAACCTGCAGGAAAATAAACCCAACTGACCTTCATCCACAGAAAGAAACGTCTCACTTTAGTGTCCGAGGTGGAAAATGAGCATCACTTTATTTGGTAAATGTCATAACTGCAAAAGCATTTATCTTCATGGCTTTAGAGTAGAGACTTTGCACATGACACAATGTCAGCTGGACATCACAGTTATTACATGGATGATAATAAATAGTTTGGTAATAAACAGTGGGTTGTGACATACAGACAGTAGGAGGTGCATCATTATGTCAGAGTTTATTGTTTGGAGGCCTCGCTGAGTCGTGCAGCAGCTCTCGCAGAGATACTGGTGTAGTTACTGTATGGGTGGAGAACAGAGCCTATAAAAAGTATTGCCCTAACTTGGAAGATTTCATGTTTTATTGTTTTGATTAGTTGGTCGACAGAAAAAGAATGGGCAACTATTTTCATATTTGATTTATCATAAACCTAATTTTTCAACTACAATTGCCTTAAATTCACCTGTATCAGCTTCTCTTTTTATGGCATTGTAAATTGAATGCCTTTGGGTCAAAGATAGGGCTGGGCTATATGGCCAAAAATGTTATCACGCTAATTTTGTTAATCGCTAATTATCACAATGAATGTCAAATCATTATTTTTTTCGAGTTTAAAGGCAGATTTTTGCTCCAGAGTGAAACTAGATGGTAGTTAAACTTTTCTTAATGATCAGAACGTGACAAACACTTGATGCAAATCAGTGGATCACTTTACAAATCTGAGGTAGAACATTCAAAACTATTATGATCAAATCTTAAAAATATATATATGATTAGTAAATCTTGTTTCAGTCCCTTTTCCTCAACAAAATAAATATTGTAATAGAAAAATTAAGTCCTAATTCATTTGTGATTCAAATGAATTAAATCAAACTTTGACGATATATTGAATATTTGTTATATTGTTATTGAGGAAAATTATATTGCGATAGTTATCGTTATTGTTTTATTGCCCAGCCCTAGTCAACGATCTCTGACCGGATTCAAACCAGAGACGTTGCGGTTCATGGTCTACTCGGCATCTTAGGAGTTGCCCCTAGACTGCAAATTTTTCAATAATTCGATTATAATTGTTTAAATAACTGCCAAACATTCACAGGTTCTAGCCTTTGTAATGTGAAGATTTCCTGCAGCTCTCTCATATAAAAGCCAATTTGATGTCTTTTGGTTTTCAACTGTTGTTCGGACAAAATAAGTAATTTGAAGGTGTCACTTTGGGCTTTAGGAAATTAACTTTTATACTGACATTTTATTGACCAAACTATCTAGGGCTGAAACGATTCATCGATTAATTCGATCAATTCAATTACTAAAATACATCGACACAAATTCTTTGCATCGAGGCTTTGTTTAATCCATAGAAATATAATACACTTTTTTGCACGTAGGGCTGGGTAATAAAACAATAATGATAATTATCACAATATAATTTTCCTCAATAAAATTAAAACAGTTCAATATATCATCAATACATATTTGATTCAATTCATTAGAACCACGAACGAATTAGCACTTAATTTTTCTATTAAGATATTTATTTAGTTGAGGAAAAAGGACAGAAAAGAAAGTTACTTATAATATTTTTTGAAAAAATATTTTATCATAATAGTTTTAAATGTTCTACCTCAGAAATGTTAAGTGATCCACTGTTTGGCATCAAGTGTTTGACACGTTCTGACCGTAAAGAAAAGATTAACCACACAATTAACCATCTGGCCCAATTTTCAATCAGGGGCCAAAATCAGCCTTTAAACTTGTGAAGGAAGAGAGAGAAATTTCAAGCTAGAAGAAACAACAACTCTGTAATGTTAAAACCAGGTTACAACTCGTCCACCGTAAAATGAAACTTCTGTGGCCTACCCTACCGAAACCACACGACGGTGAAATGTAACAGTGCGTCCACCGTAAAACAAAACTTTTGTTGCTTAACGTTACCGCAACAGCACGACAGCACCTGATCTGAAAGCACCTGGTGTAATGCCAGCGAGATTTGGTTACTGAACGTTTCTAACGTTTGCTCATAGAAGATTCATGTATTCCTGTATTTCTGCTTGTCACTACATAACCACAGTTTGCTGTTTCAGTGGTGGAATGTAACTACCTACCTAAGTACCTTTACTCAAGTACTGTCTGCACTTGAGTACACATTGAGGTACTAAGTGAGGAATTTCCACTTTATGGCACTCCACTACATGTCAGAGGGAAATATACTTTTTACTCATATTTGACAGCTTTAGTAACTAGTTCTAAGTAAAATTTCCATTATGCTTACATATTAGTATTTTGACAGTATGGTATAATACTTTGACTTTTTATTAACAAGCATGAATAAGGTGTCTATGACGAAATAATTTAGCTGAGTAAAGCTTGACTGTGATGAGTTTCAAGTCTCTGTAAAGTGGTTGGCAGCACTGCTGATACATATAATTAGAATATCATCAAAAAGTTGATTTATTTCAGTAATTCCATTCAAAAAGTGAAACTTCGATATTATATTCAGTCATTAGACACAGACTGATATATTTCAAAATGTTTATTTCTTTTAATTGTGATGATTAAAACTGACAACTAATGAAAATCCCCAATTCAGTATCTCCGAAAATTAGAATATTACTTAAGACCAATACAAAAAAGGATTTTTAGAAATGTTGGCCAACTGAAAAGTATGAACATGAAAAGTATGAGCATGTACAGCACTCAATACTTAGTTGGGACCCCTTTTGCCTGAATTACTGCAGCAGTGCGGCGTGGCATGGAGTCCATCAGTCTGTGGCACTGCTCAGGTGTTATGAGAGCCCAGGTTGCTCTGATAGTGGCCTTCAGCTCTTCTGCATTGTTGGGTCTGGCGTATCACATCTTCCTCTTCACAATACCCCATAGATTTTCTATAGGGTTAAGGTCAGGCCAGTTTGCTGGCCAATTAAGAACAGGGATACCATGGTCCTTAAACCAGGTACTGGTAGCTTTGGCACTGTGTGCAGGTGCCAAGTCCTGTTGGAAAATGAAATCTGCATCTCCATAAAGTTGGTCAGCAGCAGGAAGCATGAAGTGCTCTTAAACTTCCTGGTAGACGGCTGCGTTGACCTTGGACCTCAAAAAACACAGTGGACCAACAGCAGCAGATGACATGGCACCCAAACCATCACTGACTGTGGAAACTTTACACTGGACTTCAAGCAACGTGGATTCTGTGCCTCCCCTCTCTTCCTCCAGACTCTGGGACCTTGATTTCCAAAGGAAATGCAAAATTTACTTTCATCAGAGAACATAACTTTGGACCACTCAGCAGCAGTCCAGTCATTTTTGTCTTTAGCCCAGGCGAGACGCTTCTGACACTGTGTCTTGTTCAAGAGCGGCTTGACACAAGGAATGCGACAGCTGAAACCCATGTCTTGCATATGTCTGTGGTGATTCTTGAAGCACTGACTCCAGCTGCAGTCCACTCTTTGTGAATCTCCCCCACATTTTTGAATGGGTTTTGTTTCACAATCCTCTCCAGGGTGCGGTTATCCCTATTGCTTGTACACTTTTTTCTACCACATCTTTTCCTTCCCTTCGCCTCTCTATTAATGTGCTTGGACACAGAGCTCTGTGAACAGCCAGCCTCTTTAGCAATGAGCTTTTGTGTCTTGCCCTCCTTGTGCAAGGTGTCAACGGTCGTCTTTTGGACAGCTGTCAAGTCAGAAGTCTTCCCCATGATTGTGTAGCCTACAGAACTAGACTGAGAGACAATTTAAAGGCCTTTGCAGGTGTTTTGAGTTAATTAGCTGATTAGAGTGTGGCACCAAGTGTCTTCAATATTGAACCTTTTCACAATATTCTAATTTTCTGAGATACTGATTTTGGGGTTTTCATCAGTTGTCAGTTTTAATCATCAAAATTAAAAGGAATGAACACTTGAAATATATCAGTCTGTGTGGAATGAATGTATACATTATACAAGTTTCACTTTTTGAATGGAATTACTGAAATAAATGAATAAATATACAAATTTTTTTTTGATGATATTCTAATTATATGACCAGCACCTGTATATTTAATATAAACCATGAAATGACGCTGATAGGCTTCCATGTTCGTTTGTTTTTTATACCTTCTGTCACTCCAACATGGCTCCCATCATGTTCCCTATGCTCTTATAGCTGTGATATTTCTGTACTATTCCACCAAACACGGTGTTGCTTTGTATTTCTATTGATTCAAGTTTTCTTTTTTGGTTTTCCAGGTCCCTTCCATCACATTGGGACTTTATGGGGTGGTGGGGAAGGCCTAGTCCCCCACCTTGATCAGGCCAGACACCCCCACAGGTCCCCCAAACCATGGACAAACAAGTAGCCATGAGTACACCAGGCAAGGTCAGCGGGATCAAACCCCCCAGTAAAATAGTCCGTCCATCTGGGGTGCCATCAAAGACGTCTCCATCCTCTGGTAAGAAATTATTGAAACAATTTACTGAATAATTTATCAGAAGAAATGTTGTGGAGGATGTGTGAGAATTTTAGTTTCCATACTGTAAAAATATAATGAGTCACACTTAAGCTAACCCTAGCTGGCTAATTTGGTACATAGATGTAGATAGAAAGTCCTGAAAATGGGAGGAGACCATTTGTGTGTAAAAACTGAAAAACAAAGGGAATATTGTTCAGCTTTGAATGCAGGATGGTACGTAGAGCCGTTTGCACTGAGTAACCATTTAGGCCGTTCTAAACCACAGCGGGGTATCAATCTGATTACAGCGTCCATCCTTTAATCAGCAAGCAACTGTCCTGTTGAAGTGTACATGGACCTTAATGTGACAGAGGGCAAACAAAAACATGACTTTCTGCAAAGAGAATCACAAAAAAATATAATAACTTTATTTGTATCTTCTAAACATAATTACCAAGATAGTCAGAGACAGTAATACAACTATACAGTCAGTGAAAAGTAAAAACTGATTAAATTTACTGCTTTTAGAATAATGTGAATCAGATCATGTCAGTTAAAAGACAGTTTAACAGGGTGTTGTTTTAGCTGTCGTCTAAAATAAAAAACAGAAGTAGTGGTGTGGATTTAACATTATTTCATCCCTCAGTTTAGGTGCCATGAGGATAATAAAGCATGATTGTGATTGCAGGTACTCCAAAGCCAGTTCCTCCAGAGAAGTCCCATGGCAGTGTGACCTCCCCAACCCAGGAGGGAAGTGTGGACTTCCAAGTCGGAGAGAGGGTCTGGGTCAACGGCAATAAGCCTGGCTTCGTGCAGTTTATCGGGGGCACACAGTTCGCTCCGGGACAATGGGCGGGGATTGTGCTGGATGAGGCTATCGGGAAGAACGACGGGTCTGTGGCAGGGGTCCGGTACTTCCACTGTGAGGATGGGAGGGGGATATTCACGCGGCCTTCAAAGCTTTCCAAGACTGCACTGCCAGAGAAGGAGGAAAATGGGGGGCAGTCGAGTCCAGCACCAGGAGCCCCTGCAACAAGCGAGCCTGCACCTGCTGGCACTACCTCAACTGGTAACATCTATCAGTGATACTTGTGTTTCTCAGTGCTGTGCTAGCGCTTTGCTTGTTTTGTTACGTCATATAAGACATTTTTCTTTGTTCAGTTCAGGGCACCGGCATAAAGACAAGCGCCGCACTTAACCGAATGCTCACATCCAGCGAGTCGGTGTCTAACCTCTCAGATACGGAATCCATGAAGAAGAACAAAAGGGAGATGAGGCTGGGAGACCGTGTTCTGGTAAGAAGTTCTGTGTTTGAACCCACCATGACATTATATGACCTTACAGTCATTTCTTTTCTGAACGAAGGGCCTCATGCAAGAACATTTTTGTTTTCTAATCCTAAACCTCCTTTTGCTTTTTCTGTGAGGTTTACTTGTACAAGTGTTTCAAGTCAGATGCAACAGACTCTTACAACTTGATGAACGCTACTTGTTCATGACTACGTGCACTTTCATGAGATTTGATCATTAGCTTAATCAAGTGTATAAGGTTACCTATTCTGATCCACTTGTGGGCAAGTTTCAGTCCCAAAAGGATCACCAGAGAAACAACTTGACACTGCCAGTGTTTGAGGTCTTGCTGTTGGACATCACTAAACAAAAACATAACAAATTTAGCAGTGTGAGTGGTCATATTATGGGACAAGGAAATATTACTACAAAGTTAGATGCCAATACAGCATCTTGCTGTTTCTCTGCGCTGCACTTAAGCGATTGTACACAGGTGTGTTTTGGTCGTGTCGTGTGTAAATTTACACGTCCACTAGGAAGCAATGTTTAGCAAAGCACAATGAATGTAGAATAAATCAGGAAAAACCACTGCATGCATGAGACAAGAATTTGCATTTATCAGCCTATATAGACAATGACAGGATGTGCAACGATATAAAATTCCTTGAAGAGGAATTTAGTTTCCTCTGCTCTGCTTGAAGATCTCTTCTGGTAGTACTGATCTGAAATGTGCACCCAAGCTGGTATATTTTGACTGTGGTAAAATACAGTATGTCATGCATTGGATGAGTGCGTAATTCAATCTGCCATTGGGCACCACGTGCACAGGGCGAAGACGTTAATTGTAAAAAAAGAATATAAAGAAGCCTGTCTGTCGAAATTATTATTATTTTCTTTTTCTGTGTGTAGGTTGGTGGTACCAAGGCAGGAGTAGTGCGGTTTCTGGGAGAGACAGACTTTGCCAAAGGAGACTGGTGTGGAGTGGAGCTAGATGAACCACTTGGGAAGAACGATGGAGCTGTAGCGGGGACCAGGTAAAGATCACTGACAGAGGATGAAATATATAAAATCTGTTTCATCTGTTCAATCTGTTCTTAAACCACCTGTCAGTGGGTCTGCTGAGGTTTCAGTTGGTGCCTGACTGTGTGGTTCCCCCCTGTTTTCCCCCTCAGATACTTTCAGTGCATGCCCAGGTACGGCCTGTTTGCTCCGGTCCACAAGGTGACACGTATTGGCTTCCCTTGTACCACACCTACCAAGGCGAAGAGCTCACGGAGGAGGTCCACTCTCAAGAGGAGCCCGAGTGCTTCCTCCATCAGCTCACTCAGCTCAGCCACCTCCTCCATCAGCGGCAAACCCAGCCGAGCAGGACTGGTAAGAGCTTTCTTGAACAGAATTTGAACTTTCTGTTTTGATGTATACTACTGATCCCAGAGGATGAATCCCTCTGTCAAGCGCCACCAGTAGCTCAACACTTTCACTAATCCTGTGACATATCTCAACAAGTACTAGATGGATTAGCACAACATTTTGTACAGACGCTCGTTCTCAGACAGTGTAACCTGATGACTTTGGGAGCTCTGACTTGGAGAGGCCACCATGAGGTTGACATTTGTGGTTATGGATGAATTGTCATGAAATTTGGTTCACACATTCATGTTCCTCTGAGGATGACTTTTAATAACTTTGGTGATCCTCTGACTTTTATCCAGTGCCAGGACTCCAGACTAACTTTTTTGACCTCAGGTTTTAGATGTTTATAATGCAAAACTCTACCAGCGAGTCTGCTGGCAGCGTCTCAGCGTGCGCGGGTTACTTTACGATCACGCCGTATGCCGAGTTTCATCAACTGGGTGGAGATGATTCTCGCCGCTAGTCGAGGTTATCAGAATATTGATTTGTTTTTCACTGCGTGACAACATTGATGTGTGGCGCTTAACGCTAGCCTACACAGCGCACTTGAGAGGTCAACAAGCCGTTTGTGACTGAGAGGACAGATGGGACCTGTACCGCGGGAACAGGTGAGCAGCCAGCCTCCTGGGTGAGTCTGGCCTGACTGTAGTGTGAGAACAGTGTGAGAAGACAGCCTCCGTTGTAGTCAGTGCTCGGTCGGTTCAGTTGGTCATTTGCTAAGCGTAATAAATAAACACATAGGTCTACACAATCCCTTTCGTCCTAGAGGCGTCCTACAGAATATTTCTCTTTGTCCCAAACACATTTCCTATCGTGCCCAGGACGACGGGGACGCCGTTAGTCTCGAGCCCTGTCCAGCGCCATGATCAGGTCAAAATTTTAAGTTGTTCAGTACTTTGGTTTATGACCGAATATCTGCAAACAATGACTCCCATCCGCCAGCTGAAACCACACGTGGGACTGAGGAACCCCTGTCTGTGGTCTAAGAATCATTCACCCGCCATCCACCCAACCTCCCACCTACAACAAAACATAAAAATGTATTACCACTGAACTTAATACAGGTAGCAATTGTGTTGCAAATGTTTCCCTGGAAATGTATTAGGCAAAACCAATTAGTCTTATATATGCAATTCCTAAGAGACGGCGTTGTACACTGGGGCCTCATTGTGTTTGTGGTTGTGCATCAGTGTATGGAAGGAAATGTACTTGTTTTGAATGAAATTATTCTGGTTAGTAAATTCTCTGCAGTGTGACTGAATATGGAGAGTTACTCATGTTAAATCAGATTTTGTTGTCTTTCTGGCACCTTACCCTCTTTTAGACCTTAGTGACCTCTGACAGAGTTTAAACACTGGTTCTTATTTGATCCTCAAAACAGGATCAGATAACATACAAAATGTTAAATGTGTATCTGCCGCCGTATCTTTCCAGCTGACGGAGACATCTGCTCGGTACGCTCGTAAGATTTCTGGCACCACAGCGCTGCAGGAGGCTCTGAAGGAGAAGCAGCAGCACATCGAGCAGCTACTAGCAGAGCGAGACCTGGAGAGATGTGAGGTCGCAAAGGCAACCAGCCACGCAGGAGAGGTGCAGCAGGAGCTGACTCTGCTGAGGAAAGGGAGGGATCAGGTCAGATTCATGCACACGTGGATGTTATCTGCAGACAAGAACATGGGAGAAAGCTCTTATGAAGACTGTAATTCCATATTTTCATCCGTGTTTGTTCAACACAACTCAAACAGGAGAACTGCTTAAATCTGAATACTGACTTAAATTTGTAAATAGGCTCCAAACTGAAGGTCATGTTGCTGTGTGTCTGCAGAAATTAGAATGATTCAGCTGTTTACTGCAACTTTTGAAGACCATAATATGTCAGGGCTTGTGTTTTTGTGAGTTTGCTTTGGGGGTTTTCCTTCTCACTGGTGGTCAATATTTACTTAATGCACCTTTTGAAGAAATACTTTTTTTTTATCTAGTCTCGGACTGCACAAATATATCTATGACTAACAAACACATTTTAGGCTTAAATCTTACTTCAGTCAATAATAGCTACTAACACCCATGGTGCGTGACAAAAACAGAGGGCTGTTACCTGAGAGATCGACTTGTAACCAATCAGCTCCGTTGGCGGGACAGTGAGCAAGACTCCAGAGTGGTGATTAACAGAGAGAGGTTACATAATGCATTAAAGTCTTTCACAAAAATTATTGAACAAATAAATTGAACAAATCGCAAAATCATGTACACTGTAAAATGAGAACTATACACCTCTATGTCCCAAATAAATATGGAGTCTTAAACAACATTTTAAAGAAAATATCATCAATGCGGGGGAAAAGTGTGACCTAAACGCCGGGGATTAGAGCTTAGTGTTGCCGTGACCAACATCTAGTTTTTGGTATGCATTAATCAAGTCGTCTCTTGTTATATGTTGTTAGTGTTATTCATTCTGTGTGTTATAGTATGCAGTGGAGATGGAAGCAAAGTTGGATCAGCTACGTTCGCTGGTGGAGGCAGCAGATCGAGACAAGGTGGAGCTGCTCAACCAGCTGGAGGAGGAGAAGAGGTGGGTGGTCTGACTTCACCTGCAGCCCGCACACAATACTGTTTATGGAAAGTCATAAATGTGTTTCATTTATCACTGTCTAATATGTACAGCAGAGGTACTCTTAGAAGAAATGTTATTATCGTCCCTGTTTGACAGAAAAGTGGAAGATCTGCAGTTTCGTGTGGAAGAGGCATGCATCACCAAAGGAGACCTGGAGGTATCTTGTGGTTATATAATCTGGTTCTCAATTAAACATATTCTCTCACTCACTCAAGCTATAAAATTCCCACTTGTCAGGCTGATGCTTTCTTTAAAATTTACGTGTGAATTATTGACAACTTGTTTGATAGTTGATTAACATACTTTCATTACCACCCCCACGTTGTTCTTATTAAAAGCAGTCAAATAATGTCAACCTCAAGCCCTCCTGTGTACCAGTTTGTAATGAACACCTGAGTTTGATCTCTTTTGTTTTTTAATGCTCTGTTTATATTTTGTGAAGTACCACATTAAGTAACTTAAAGTTGCAAAATAATTGGCCGTGAACTTGTATTAGTGCTTCACATTTTCCTCTAAAAATATATGAGCTGATGATTTAACCAATCGTTCTTACCCTGCACTCTTTGAATCATTCATTTGCTGCCTCCTTCAGACAAGTCTTTCTCCCTGCTCATTTTATTTATTCGTTCATGCTTAATTCACGTACGCTTCCTCTTTATCCACCCATCTGCAGCACTTACATTAACATCCTCTCGTCATCCTTTCACCCACATGTCTGTTCCTGAATGCTGTTTTTGTCCTGATTTGCCTTCAGTCTTTTTATATGCTTCCATCTTTCACCGTTGTCTGCATCTTCTTCACTGTTCAGATGAATTAGTGCCTAGTCGCCTTCAAGTACTGGAATACAAGCAAACAAGTGCAAATAGAAGTATCTGAGAGTCAGAATGAGATGATTGAAATAATCAACTCCTGATATTCCTCAGAGCAGAATGAGCAAATAACAATCTTTCCCTTTGTTCATATCCATCTGATGTAATTGAAATACTGGAAACCATCAGTGCTTCTGTACTTACTGGCCTTCTCTTTAAAGTCTTGTCTTGTCTTCCTGTTTGTGGCACAAAGCTGACAAGTTAGTGTTGCATTGGTGTTTGTTCTCCTTCTTTTCCTGCTCTCTCTTACTAACAGACGCAGACCAGACTGGAGCATGCCCACATAAAGGAGCTTGAGCAGAGTCTGCTCTTTGAAAAGACCAAAGCTGAAAAACTCCAGAGGGATTTAGAGGACACTAGGGTAATGCTCGCAGTCCTAGTCCCACAGCAGGACTAAGTGATGTGCTTTTCCCTTACTAGGTTTAATAATGATGCACAGAATATATTGATGGAACCACAGCGTGCAAACATTATGCAAATTATCAGAATTATCAAAAGTTGCTTCCCCCTCCTGGCCTAGTCCACAATCAGCCCCGGAATAGAGACTAACATCTCATCAGCCTTGAGCTTTTCTAGTAACCCGGGTCTGTCATACTGAAAGTTATGCATGTGTGCATGAAATTCTTTTCTAAGATAGTTTGGAAATGCCTGAGCTTTTGAGAATGCTGGCCTTCATTTTTCTAATTCAGCAAATCCCATGAAAAGACCAAAACCAACAGCATGTTAGTCTGGCTTTTAATACTTTCCAACTTCTCTATCCTGTCTGTTTTCTTACTGAAGATGTAAAACTTTAACAGCTGGCAACTTTATTATTTTAAAGTCCCAGTTATTTCCTAAAACAGCTGTAGTTTTTAGCAAATGTTACTTAGTTGGGAGGAAATAGAGCATTTGATGGGACTTTTTTTAGGAGTGGATGAATCCACATGTGGTGCTCTAGTGACTGTTTGGTGCAGCAGGACAGTGTATGTAGGACTGAGTCAGAATAAACTACAGTGTGGTGTGTTCATGGTGATGAAAGAACAGTGAGCCAGTGCAGCAACAATGGCAATATCTATGGCTCAGAGTGAGAAGATATATCAGGCTTTGATGTACACACAATACCTGTTAAGAGCATACATTCTGTTAAGGCAGGAGAAACCACTGGGGCAAGGACTCAAAGGTACAACCTCGATTCAGAAACACTTTGGTACACATGTAGGTAGTCAGTAGAAGATGACAAATAATCCAACAGGGATAAGGCTAAAGCTGGTCATATCAAAAAACTAGGAAGAGTACACATAGAGAAAACGCTGGAACGCTAGACAACAAAGGTTACTAAGACGAAGGGGAACAGATAGACTAAATACACTAGATGGTGAGGATAACAAGGGACAGGTGGATGTAATTATGGTGGGGCAGGTAATCTCACAGGTAGGAATCACACAAGGACAGGAAGTGAAGTGGTCTGAAACAAGAGGAAAGGTAAGTAACAAAATAAAACAGGAAAGAAAATGGAATGGAAGAAGTCTAAGAAGCATGACGTGGCGTCTCACATTCACTGTTGGTTTTTGTCTTTTCATGGGATGTATTGACAATAAGAAAAATGTGGAACACTGCCATCCTTTATCTTTTAACCAAAAGGTCTAAACTTTGACTTGTCTTTAAGTCAAAGGTCAAAGTCTCCTACAGAAAACAGTGAATCCTTAATTGCACCAGATTCTCTGTTGGTGGTTCAAACAGCGCTCTGGTACTCATTCAAAATAAGTGTGGTTTGTTTTAGCCTGGATGACATCAGGGTTTACAGGTCAAAGATCTTGCATCCTGCCCCATGTGTCAATGGAACGTGAATAATGGAAAGACAGATACCTATTTTTTGACATATCAGCGGATATTCTTTTCCCCCCCTCCTTTTCAGAAACACATAAAATAAACAGAGATCATTCCTAACATTTGTTATGTGTAGTTATGAGACCTTACCAAGATAACAAGACATAATGCAGTTTAAAATTAAACTTTTTTTATTGTTATAAATAGTACACTGAACAAAAGTACAACTGATTATGTCATAGCTGTGTGTTGCCATCAGGGGACTTGCAGAGCTCTCACAGACGAACTGCAGCAACAACTCATACCATGATTGACGGATCTGTCTCTCCGTTTCTTTTTTAATTGTCATTTACCGGCTGTTATAAACACTGTTAATATCGGCACACTGATGTATTGGTCGGGCTCTTATAGGAAGCAGGAAAACCTATTCTTTTTTGGGGGGGGTTTACTTAAATATCCAGTCTTTGACTTCCAGCTATTTGACAAGTAAAAACTTAAATTATTTGTTATGTTGAAGGGTTAATTATGTGCATTTTATTTTGGAATATATAATTTATTTTGGAATATATCTATCTATCAATGTAGATAATTAAATTAGTAGAGTTTTAGACCTTAAACAATAAGCCTATTCATTGATTTTTGATAATGGATTACTGGTTTAAGTAGTTTATTAAGCTAAAATGCCAAAAATTGGCTGGTACCATCTTTATTAATTTCAGAGACTTTACTTTTCTTTTTGTTATATTTAGTTTTTGTTGGTTGGATAAAACAAGCAAAATGAAGATGTCAACTTGGGCTCTGGGAAATTTCGTTTCAATAATTTTTCACAATTTTCTCATGTTTTATAGAGAAATCAATTACTCTAAAAATAATCAATCTCTAGTTGAAGCCCTACAATATTCTGTGCTTTAATCACTTTAAGTTACAGTAAATCAAAATACATCACTGTGGCTGAAAACGTTGCCATGTCATTTTGATACAGATGAATCCCAGATCAGGTGAAAGCTTCTGCACATACTGTATTTGGTTCACTGTATACAACCCAGACACACTGTTTTTACATTACTACTCTCCTCTGTCAACTCTCCTGTCTCCTCTTGGCCTTCACGCCTCCTTTCTACATCTTCTGCTGCAGGTGGCCACGGTGTCTGAGCGCTCCAGGATTATGGAGCTGGAGAGGGAGGTGGCAGACCTCCAGCTCAGGCTCCGGGCATCCCAGCAGAAGGAGGATGCTGCGTCTCTGTCCCAGCAACAGATCAGCAGCCTCAAAGCCCAGGCACAGTCTCAGGAGAAAAAGGTTTGTGGAAAGCATCAGAGAAGTCCCAGCGTTGGTGTTTTTGTTCAGCTAGGTCTGGGCAGCAGCTACATGATACCCTCTGCTTATTATCATATAATTTATGGCATGATGTAAAACTGAAAGAATTGGTGTAATTTCTATTTACCATCCTTTTAGCCCTAATGTAAATAGACATTTGACCTTTTTATGTGGGGTTTGTTAAAGCTACTGTGATGATGCATAATTTATGGCTCTACTATGTATATATTGTATGTTCTATACTGTGTGTCCCCATCAGATCAGTGAGCTGAGTGTCGACGTGGAAGCAAACAGAAAGAGCTTCAGTCTCTGCAGCAAGATAAGAGCTCTCTGGAGCTGCAGCTAACCAGCCTGGTAAGAAAGGAAGAAATTCACTACTTACTTAATGGATGTTTGGGCTTTTAAACATACATCTCTGGTACGCAAACCCCCATTAAGCAATGCATGTTATTAAGAAAATGTGATGTCACTTTTATAACTCGGTCTCATGCATGAATAACCATCTGAGTCACTTTTATGCAAAAGTCTGTGTTGAACATGTAACAATGGCTGCCAAGCCCCCCCCCCTGCAGTTACTGTTGTTACTCCTGTCGTTAAGCGTTTTTTTTTTTGTCACTATTAATTGGCAAAAGTTTTGCAACATTAAACAATGACCCCAACAAAAAAAGGACAGATTTCCATCGTACATACAGTCCTGTTTACTGGTTTGTTTGCAGCTCTGCTCCGATGCCACTGTTTTGAGTTTTGTATAAAATGATTTTTCTTGCTTCTTGTAGTCTCAACATACATTAACATGCTTTCTGCAATGGTTTTTAAACACTGGTCCTTTGTTGGTGGCACTGCTTGTACCCCAGTTCTCTGTAATGTTTGGGTTTGTGGCTGAGAGGATTTAGATGCAGACACAGAGGCAGTTGTAAAAGAAGAAATCACAGAGGAATTATTGAGATACATATAATGAATGTGCAAAGTGTTCCTCAAGGCGGTGAGGGTTAGGTTTACAGGGTCTCTGTGAAAAGGAAGGTGGAGTTGGGGCTAAAACCAAACAAAACCAAAACTAGGACCAAAAACCTGGGGCACAAGAAAGACAGGGTGTCACAAACTTAGCTCTTTCTAAAAAGACGTAGCAAGTGTAACACTGGAAGTGAACAGATGATCTGGCAAAGACTGAAGGGAAAAGCCAGGGTTTGTAACCACTGGGGGTTTATTGTGGGATGAGTCTCAGGTGAGTCGAAAAGCCACAGGTGGTTTGATGATTGGCACAGACAAGGGGAGTGCAGCACCATGCCCAGACACACACAAACAAACAGAAGACAGACAGAAATGCTGGGAGTGGAAAAACATAGGAAACACTAGGAACTGGATTGGTGGCACAACCAGTAACGGCCTTTTTACTCGCTACTAACTGAATTTTAATAAAATATCACTCACTTCCCCATCACATTTTCTTCAGAGAAATTACGGAGATAAAGTACCAAACAACTCTTAGAGACCATTTATCCTAGATTTTTTTTCTGGTGTTTCCAAACGACATGTTTGGAAAGTTATCTACATAATAATGAGAAGACGATTTATCATTGAAATTCCTTGATTCTTTAATCAATAGTTTTTGGATTTCACACAGAAGTAATCAGCTTCTCAGTTCAAGCTGGTGACCAAGCATACAGTATTTTACTAAAGAGCTGTTGCTAGCTATCTAATGAAGCTAGCATTAGCTCTACGAGTTTGTTATAGACAAACTATAGTGTTTAAAAGTGAAAACAACCTAATGTTTCACTCTAGTGTGTCTTCATCAGAAAAAAAAGACTGCATGTCTCAGGAAAAAAGTCATCATCCTCATCAGTTGATGATTAATTTAGAAGACATGGACTTATGTTATATAATAAAGGTTCTTGTATTGAAGTGTAGAGCTGATTATTAGTTTCATTGAGAAGCTGGAACCAGTGGGTTATTTAATTTTATTCAAAAATGACTTAATTATTAATGTTAATGTTTATAGCTTTTCTGTTGATCAATTAATCCCCTAACTGTTTCAGCTCTAGTACTGTCCCAGAAATGTTGTTAGTTTCTGACTTAGTATTACTGCCATCATGACCTTTACAGTTTGTGACTCTGGGGGCTGACATGTAAAATTGCCAGCAGATTTCTTTAATGAGGTGCATGTCTGAATGGGCCCCAGATCCATTGCTTTACCAGATAATTGAAGCCAGCTAAGAAGTGCATCTCTGTGAGGGTCTAATCTGATGCGTTTTGCTTGCGGGCATCGTGAAAGTGGCCACATTAAGAGAGGCATTTTATCCTCAAACCTCGCATAGTTTCTGGGCCCAGTCATTATTCTCTAGTTAGCTCAAAGTATAAGAATGTTACTATGTAAGTGATTAGCTCGTAGTCAAGCTGATGTTTCTCCATTTCAGAGAAAAACGCTTGAGATAGCTGAGGAGGAGAACAGGAGTGCAGCAAAGAACATGCAAGGTAAACATTTCAGATGTACCGCAACTGCTTTGATGCTCATTAGAAAGTATGTTTATTATGTTTTTCCTGTGTCAAGATGATTGTGATAGTTGATGTTGTGTTTTCTGCCAGAATTGGAGCAGAGTGTGGAGCAGGCAAAGAAAGACTACCAAACCTTGAAAGAGGAGAGTCAATGCAAAGAGAAAGAGCTGACACAGGTAGGTTTGCACACAAGTCAGTGGTTGAAAACAATTGAGTAATTTTATTTTGTGTGTGTGTCTTAGACGTTACTGTGTGGTGATAAATAGGGCAACTATTGTTTTCATTAATCGACTAATCGTTGAGTCTATAAAATGTTGGAAAATTGTGGGAAAAATGCTCATCACAATTTTCCAGAGCCTAAAGTGACATCTTCAAATTGCTTCTTTTATTCAAACAGTCCAAAATCCATTTACTATAACTGACAAAGAATAGCAGCATTGTTTTTACATTGAAGAGGATTAAACCAGCAATGTTTCACATTTTTGCTTAATAAAATGACTGAAAGGATTAATCGATTATCAAAATAATCAATAGTCAATTAATTTTCTTTAATTAATGGACTAATCGTAAAACTAGCTGGCTGTATATAACGTAGTTCAAACTAGTTAATTATATAAAGTAGTTCAGTTTAAATTTCTAAAGATGGCTATGGCCTAACTTTAGACTATTTACCTTACTTTAAGGTTTATCAAAGTCTATCAGCTGTAGCTCAATTCGTAAGGATTAGGCTGGGAACCGGTGGGTCGTGGTTCGAATCCAGCTCGGACCAGAGTTGCGGAGCGTGGACTGGTAGCTGGAGAGGTGCCAGTTCACCTCCTGGGCACTGAGTGGCAGGCCCCTCACTCTCTGTGTGTTGCTATGGGTTCTGTTTGTGCATGTGCATGTGTGTAAAAATACTAATATAGTAAATATCATCTTCTTCTTCTTCTGTCAAGAGTAACATAGCTAGCTAGCCAGCTAGCTGGCAGTATCAAAGTAAACAAGGGTCCTAGAAATGCAAATCCGGTCGTAGGATTGTGGTCCTGAAACTGGAGCCTCCAGCTACATACTACTCTTTCGCTTGGGTATTCAGTCGAGTGCAGTGTGCAGTCTCACCACTAGATGTCACTAAAGTTCTCACACTGGTCAATGTAAACAATGCAGCTTTTAAAGCATTTTAATAAAATGTTTTGCAAATGTTTGATGGCCTGCTTTCAATGTATTTGTGAGACCTTAAAATTACATACAATAGGTTTTGGTCAGAAATTAAAACTGATTGTGTTTACAGGGGAACATTCTGTAGGGTACTTTTAAGTACTGTTGTCAAATATTCCCTCCAGAAATAGCGTTACTATACCTCGTATACTTATTCTTGTGTGCCACCCCTGTGTACCTGTAGACAAACTCAATGGCATGTTTCAAGCTACAGGAACATTCTCCTCATCTAGTATTTATGCTCTTATATTTCCAGTAGTCAGTGTTTTGCAGACGTCTTAGCAGGAGGTGCATAAATGGGGTGATAACAGAAAGAGTGGAGCATAAAAGCTCGGCTGTTGTATTGCAGCAGCAGTGAATGCAGGGTGTCCACTCTTTTTACTGTTGTAATATTTCTGAAAATACCTCAGTACAAATTACAGTTTGCAGTTATAAGGGAGTATTTTGTTTTCTTTCCCTGAAGTCAGAGCTTTCATACTTGTGCTCTCGCTTCACGGAGCTCGTTACAAATGGATGTAAAAGTGAAACAGCTGAACAAGCTCGAGGCAGACCCAGTAAAGACCTGTCTTTCCTTTTTTAGCCAAGATGTTTAATGACCTCTGGTAATGGAATGCTGTTTTTTACGCGACGATGTCTATTTTGACTTAAATCTTAAGTTTAGAGTGATCTTGATGTTTTGTGCCTCTGTACAAAACAAGAAAAAAGAAAACCTATATAAGATTAAATGATGCGAAGGGGGTCGCATGTAGTGACAGACCCGCAGAGAATTACCACCTGCTTCTGCAGCTATAATTGTTTAGATTTTACGCCCCGCACCTTTACTGTTTTTTATTACAGTACTTTCACAGCTGTCATCAGCGCTGTTTCCTGTAGCCACCAAATGTTTACAGCGGGAAGCTCTAAAATACCACTGTACACTAACTGCTCAGCAGCAAACTGCAGACAGACACAGTTTCACTTCCTGTCAGAACAAACAGGAAAAGATGGAGTCCACAACACACTCAATTAATCCCTAAAAATAGATAAATTATAACATAAAAAGCCAGATAACACACAAGATTAGCGAGGACATACAAGAATAATTTCTCATGCACTGTTTTTAATTTAATTTTAGCATAACATGTTCAGTTTAACACGTTCATAACAAAAAAATGATTGAATGAGTTGAAAATGCCTTTTGTATGTCAACAAGAAAACTGTTTCTATTGATCACAGAACAATTAAGTTGTGTTCTCAGGAAATCAAACTTGTGGATTGTAATGTACTAAATCATCTTTGTGCACTGGATATTACCAAACCACGTGGAGCTAAATTTTGTCAATATGTTTTCCAGGCTATTGAAAAGTCAGAGATGACGAAGCTGTCGCTTGAACAGCTGACCAATGAGAAGAAGACACTTGAGACACAGGTGAGCAGAAGGTCCTGATAGAAAATATGTATGTTAATCTTCAGCTACAGCAAAATACTGAAAGTTCCCACTGCCACTGAAGTACCCAGGGTGTCATTTTATTCCTTCGCTTCTCTTTCATTCAACAAATGATTATTTGCTAAGCCCTCCTGTCAGTCTTTCCACTCCTGTATATATGCTGTTTACAATGATGCTGGCAGATTTAAACACAACAAAAGCAAAAAACAACAAAAGCCAGGTAGGATGTCAACTGTTGCTGGCAGATTTTCCTCACCAGTGTAGAAAACATGGAAATAAAGACACATCATTGCTCTTGTATGTCAATGTGTAAATCTAGTGTTATAACATCAAACTCTTATTCCATTTTAACAGGACCCTGTTTGGTTACTTAGCTTACAACCATGGACAAGCAAGACAGTTGTTAGATTTATCTTTTAGTGTTCATATTTTCAAATGTGTGTGTTTCACAAAACTCTTTTAGGATTATTAATATCCTCTTTACGCTGGGATTGCTGGGTTGTAAACTTCGCCAAATCCAGTAAAGAGCAGGACTGAGTCGCAAAACGTCACCCTAAACTCTGACATAGTATATCGGCAACACTGTGGATGTAATGTGTCCCCAAAATAGGTGGTTTGCTCATGAAATCTCCTTGGGCTTGAAAGTAACTAGTTTTGATGTATGAAAGCGTTTCCTTACACGTTTTGCTTTTGTATTTTTGGTTCTGGAAAGGTAAAAGGAAACCCTCCAAATTTGTTAAATATCACTCTGCTTCAGCATGTGGAGAAATCCAGTGCTTCACAAACACATGCACGTGTGTTACTGTGTGTGTCCACAGAAAAGATTCACACACATGCACATACATGATTTTACCATTTTTAGCTTGCAGGGTTTTAATTACGTATTCACATCAGGATTCCCACGCTTACCGCATGTGACTGTGCAGGCCCCAGTCATCGCATTTAATCAGCCAAGCATAAAATACCGTTAGCCGTATCTCTCTTTCTCTTTTCTCTCCCTGTCTCTTCCCTCTCAGCCTCCACATCTCACCGCCATCTGTAACTTGATATTTTTATCATTTCATACTCAATCCGTAACTGGGGTCCACCTGCAGCTGTTCATTCAGTCTGCGGCTCTCTGGTGCCCTCTTGCTCGTCTACATTCATCTCCGCCCTGTAAGATCAGTCTGACTCCAGCTGCCTGCAGTCTCCAGATGGTCGGTCTCATGACAGCCAGAGAAATGGAAAGGAGATTAGAGCGGGAGATAGAGACCGAACATAAACATGCTTTCTGTTTGGAAGTATTTATATTCGTCATCCCAGCAGATAAACCATTTTCATGCACCATATTTCAGCGCTGCAACATAACTCACAGTACTCTAACTGCTATTCTTGGTGACTTAAGGTGGACTAAGATAAGTTAACATAAGATAAGCCTTTATTGATCCCCAGAAGAGATTTTCTGGCGTTGCAGCAGCACAAAGACATAAACAAGAGATATAAACAGATACAAACAACTAAGCAAAACAATATTAGAAGCATATATAACAAGCCTAAGAATAGATTTTGAAACTCTTTGACACAGAATAGGCTAAATGTGTTAATTTTGTTTAAAATTTTGAGAGTGCTGGAGATGTTCTGACAGTATGGCATTTTGAAATAAAAAAAACAATTTAGCAATTATGGGTAGTAGTAACATATATAGTAATAACAAATGTTTATAACACATTGTAATGTGTCAACACAGTGTAACTTGTGAAATGTCATTAAGAGATCAATAAAGTCTTGTATTTATCTATGATATTATTATTAAATGTAATTGTTGATTATTATGAATGTAGTGGAGTAGATATTTAAAGTAGCAGTAAATGGAAATAGTAAAAAGTAAAAGTACCTCAAAAGTGTACTTAAGTGCAGTACTTGTACTTACACTTAATAGATAACAACATATAATAAACAACATATAGATATTTATTGTATTATTTATGTAATATAACTAGATTTAAATTATCATTTCAATATTTTTAAACCTGGGCCCTATTTTCACATATTTTGTTGTCTAAATGACCAGTAGGTACAAAAAGTTTTGGACTCTTCTCCCTCGTTTCCTCCAGTCAGTGTTGTGTACGTAGAGGAGCTGCTAGCAAGACTTTATTTCCTAACGTTACTCCAACACAACAAACTCCTCTCTCCAACTCTGACTCCCGTTCCACCGGGTTTCACCGGAGTCCTTCGTAGGGATCCTTTCTATGATGTTTTCAGTCACCTGGTCTAACAGTCTGAGCCTGTCGGTGTCAACAAGAAGCACATTTTGTGGACGTATTTTTGATGGGTGCAATTGCCACGAAGGAATACGTAGCAGCCACTGCAGCCAAAGCATCTACTGCACAGATTCAAAACGTTTTGTACCTACTAGTCATTTCAACATCAACATATTTGGAAAAAAAGCCAGATTTAAAATACCGAAATTATCTTTTAAGCTTCATATAAAATATGAAGACAAGTTTTATATGATTACAGCTCTGTTATTTTGTCATTCATTAATTGTTTACACACCAGTTACAGATGCTTCATATGAGGAGTTGTACAATAATAAACACCCCAAAATGTCCCCATGTCTGCTTACAACCACATTATAGTGTGTTTATAAATCATTTGTTATACCGTCTGTCAATGATAAATAAGAGTGGTTAAAATAGTGTTACCTCATAGGTTATATATTTATTTAATATTAGTTTTAACTTTGAGAGCTGTTATTGTACAAATATGCACCAAAAATAAATACCTCCTGTACAACTTCTGTTTTTGTACAGTACTAGTGTTGTTAGCATAAACAGAACTTAGACCCTTTCTCCTTGAAATTGTTATTTTCTGCTCTGCCAGTGAATTATTATAATATAAAAGTAGCGTTGTTATTATTATTAACTGAAATGTTTAAGCTCACTTAATCTTGACAAACAAAAGGCTGGAACAAACAGCAGACTGTTCAATATGCTTTAAATTGACACGCTTTAAGGAAACTGAAAGGATCGACCTAATGTGTCCGTCATTAAAAATGAAAAACGTTTTTGCAGCTACAACAGAGAGAGCAGGGATTTGGTCTCTGTGGAGGAAAACGCACGTTGTAGAGCGTTTATTTATTTATTATTTATTACATCTGCGTCTTCTCTCCGCTCAGCCATGTTACTGTAGGCTGTGATGTAATCCTGCACATGTCAGACACTGTGTGTGTGTGTGTGTGTGTGTGTGTGTGTGTGTGTGTGGTGGTGATGATGATGACGATGATGACGATGCCTGGCTGGACAGAACATTGCTTTAATTAATGAACGGTTGACTTGAAATCAGCCTCTCTTTTTTTGTGCCGTCACACATCTGTTGTATCCAGAGCTGAAACGATTCGCTTAGTTGATTAGTCTAATTAATCAGCAACAACTTATTTAAATTTTTATTTTATTGTTTATTTGAGAAGGGATGTAAATGTACATAGTACATGTAAATAGTAATTCTGAAAACACTGAGAAATGTCATCACAATTACCCAAAGCCCAAACTGAATCAAAGTAAAATTATCAAAATAAAAGGTGCAAATCTTCACATCAAGTGTTTTTGTTTGAAAAATCACAAACATCATAATTGTTGCCAATTAATTTTCTGTTAATCGACTGATTGTTTCAGCTGTACTTGTATCAACTGTTGGATATTTTAATTTATAACAAAACATATTTTATAAACTCTTTGTTGTATGTTTTGTTTGTAAAAATCTTGATTTGTAAAGTAAAAAGTACAATATTTCCCTCTGACTAGAAGTAGCGGAGTAGAAGTATAAAGTGGCATGAAAAGAAAGACTCACGTAAAGTACAAGTACCTCAAACTTGTACATAAGTGCAGTATATTTACTTAGTTACATTTGTTTTGTAGTATTTATCTTCGTCATTCTACAAGCCTTTTTCGGTCGGCTTCTCATTTGTGGTTATTTGCTGGTGTTCTTGGTCTTTTCTGAATATTAATGGGTTTTGGAGTAATAAACCAAAAGAAGCTGTTTAAATACATCACATCTTTGTAATCGCCATTTTTCACCGTTTTCTAGACCAACTGATTAATCTGTTGATTCATCGATAAATCAGTGATGCCCCAGTTAGATCGTTTGTGCGCAGACGCAACAACACATCATAAGAGAGGACAACGAGAATGGCTCGTTGTTTTTATCAGACCTTGTTATATTAAACAAAGGTGACGGGTGGCACCAGCTGACTGTTGTGTTTGCTGTGAGTCATGTTAAACACTGAATGAAAGGTGAATCTTTTAGAGGAGTGTGTGAACATATGGTGTCGGAGAGTGAGGAAACAAGATTGTGAGCAGCAGAAAGGCGGCGGAGGGGGGGGGGGGGGTATGTTGTGGGAGGAGCTTCATCTGTGCTTACATAATGGAAGCGCTCGGCTTCTTTAACCCAACTGTGACAGAGAGAGAGAGAGAGAGAGAGAGGCTGCTCAGGCGACACGCTCTCCATTTCCCTCTCGCAGCCGTGCACGGCGGGGGGTGAGAGCTGATGGTTTATTGATGCCCAGCTTGTGTTAGTCTGTGTGTGTTATGCTGTAGATAGAGGGTGAGTGCTTGTATACACACTGCTGTTGTTTAGCAGCTGAACGTGGGTTTAAATCTGGCAGCAGTGAGCCTGTAGGTATGGACATTGCTGCTCTGCATCAGGGTTACTCCACTAAAATCTACTCACCTCACTACCAGGTAGGATTGTTTTGTTTGCAACAAAATCAGTGCAGAATGCAAATAGGACATGTTAAAATCACTGTAGGCTGGAAGAGGTGGTGTTATTCATATCTCTAATTAGCTCTTTTAAATGATTGTGTTTCTCAGTATAAGATTTCACCGTGTAGCCTGCGCTTGTGACCCAGCGGACAATCTGTGCACGTTTTGCATGTTTGTGTATATTTATGTGTGCATGTGAGCGTGCTCTGTAGTACTACATCTCACTTCAGAGGTGTAAATAAACAAAGATGTGTTAATAAGTCTGAAACTCACGTGCAAACGGTGTCCAGAACAGTGTTGATGACACACTTGACTATGTGTTAACGTGCAAAAAGAAATATCCTGTAGACGACTGACAGTGTGAATCGTTACACATTACATTTTAAAAAATAAAATCTTATTCTGTCTGAAGTCAGTTGCAGCAAAGACATTGATTTGAAAGTCATACTTGTTAATTAATTATCGACTGTTGCTATTTTAAAGCTGCTGGGATGACTGCACTGCACGTGTCTGAAAAGGCAGTTTGACCTGCCAGGAAGGATTTTTGATTTGTGTTTAGAAACCCAGATATCCGACTTGATTAAAGAAACAAAAATTTTTGCAAGAGATGAAGTTGGAGTAACTGACGTCTCCGGGACTTTTATTTTTAGTTTCACGTGGACTGAACTCGTTCTGCTGTCTGCTGACTCATTGTGAATATCAAGGCGTTGTGTATTTTAAGTATTAACTGCGGTTTTACTCTTAATGACCCAAATTTCTCTTGTCTGACTGCAGCTTGTCTTTGGACGTAAAAGCTTTTATATGAGAATATGGCAATATGATGTTGAGTATACTACAGGTTTTCTTCAGTATCAAAGTAATCCAGTAATAGTTGTCTGTGCGTTCATGGGCACGTTACAAACAGAAAATGCTAACAGCTAATTCTGCATACTTTTAATGGTGGCAGTTTGCCAAAGTATGAACAAATATTGGCTAAACCCAGTGCTCAAATAAGAATAGCACTGAGTTGATAAATAAAATAATACAGTAGAAGGACAACCAGTTCTTCCCGTGGGGAAGAAAACTCAGATATCCTCTTTAATATGCAGAGATGTAACTCTGGACAGGATTTAAATTATAGGAGAACCAGCCAGTTTGCTGAAAAGTTATGACTGCTGTAATTATTATTTCTGGGGCGAGGGTGAAACATTACCCTCATATACTCTCCAGACCAGATTAAAATCACTGACTAGCGCAGGTGATGTCAAAATCAACCCACCTCCCCTAGAAAAACAAATCCCGCCCGAATAGTCTTAAGTGCTAAAACAATTTGTTTTATATTATTTTATATATATAATATTAAGAAGAGCAAAATAATGTATTCTGTAGTTCTAACTTGTTGTGTATATATTCTTCTTCCCCTTTTCCAGCTCGAGGCTTTGAAACAGCAGAACTCCAAATACCAAGAAGAGCTCAGCTTGACGAAGGAGCGGAGCAGCTCAGAAAACCAGCGCATCGGAGTTCTCTGCAAGGAAATGTGAGTACCGAGGATAACTAATGTGTTTTTTCCTGGTGTGTGTCTCCTCTAAAGGTGACCCCAGCCAGCCAGTTCATTAGACTGGCCGTGGTGAATTTATCCTGCGGGGTCTTTACTGATGATTAAAAATCCAGTCTGCATTTTCAAGCTCTTACTTCAGCACAAAGAAGGGACTATGCAAATGTGGCTCAATTTAATTGCATTTAGACAATAGAACCAAGTAGAAACTGTCCTCACTGGTCTCACACTGAAATGTGTTATTAAGTAGGCTCCATCTGTGACTCTCCAGAGAGATGTTTCCTCTTGTTAATATGCTGTAAATTGTTGTGTAAAGGGCATAATTAACCAGAGAGTGCCATTATGTGATTATGGATATGATGGTGGAGTGGATGCACAATACTGATAATTACAGTAAGTACACCCCCTTGGGTGTAATGGCTGAAAACGTTTGTTTAAAATGTTTTGTTCCGTAAAGGACCAAGTTTAATATCTTTAACTACTATCTTAATATCTTAAACTACTATCTAACTACAAATCATGTATGCTTAATGTTTTTGCTGAATTTTTTAAATTAGACTTTCAGATGTACTTTTACTTCTTTTCAGCCAGCTTTTGGTTTCCATTCATGTCTCTATAAATTAAGTGGATTCTTGAAAGCATTTACTCATGAAAAACGTTATTACGTTTATTTAATAATTACTCCGCGCCGTAAGTAATTGGATAAATTACTTGTTACGTTACTTTCAGTATTCAGCCCAGCTCTGCCTTTACACAACTCCAAATCCTCCACACCCACACGACACATCTCTTATTAAACACATGTAGAAATGTAAGCAGACATTTTGGTTTAAGTGGCCAGCTTACGGTTAACAGGGATTTCCTTATGTTCACCTCTGTGGCTGCACGCAGCAGTCGTCACGTACATACATTAAAAATGAATGCATTATCGCTGTGCATTCACTCACAAGCATTTAGTTTGCTCTTGTTGATGAAATCACCAGAGTGGCAGTGTTGACGTTGTCAACAGTCTATTCTCAGCTTAAAGTCTATATGCCGCCATGAAAACAGGTCATTAGCGTTCTCTGTGTGGTGGATGACACAACTCGAGTTTGCTAATATATTTTTAAAGTGTAGAAATTAATGAAAACCAATGGATCCGTGTAGCAATTGAAAAATGTGTTCAGACTCGTAGAACACTGCCTCTTCTTTTGTAAAATGGTTCACTGTGATGTAAAGTACTTAAAACATTAAAACCCACTGGTGTGGTCCTTTTAAACATGATAAAGCAAGATATAATACCTACTGCGTTCATGGCTTCCACAGTGATGACAGCAACAAATTCATAAAAATTTTAATATTGACTGATCGCTCAGCTAAAACAGTTTTTTGAAGCAGGGTAAAAATACTCCATCTTTTTACTTTGCTGTGTTGTGGTGGATCTCCAGCCTGAGGTTGAGGTCTATTTATAGACCGTGTGTGTGTGTGTGTGTGTGTGTGTAAGTATGTGGTGTGTTTTGAGTCTTTACATCATCCCTCCATGCCTCCCCTGATTCATCAGAGCCCCGAGCTGTGACGCCACGGCTCCAGATGGATCTAACTGGCTGAATTACAGTCATCAATATGTAGCATCCTGTAGGAGGAGCAGCAGATGGAGACGGAAACAAATATCCTCAGTCACAGTGAAACAAGTGCAGCGTCAACCCCTTTAAGGAGCAGAGATTTGTCTGCTTTTCTGTGTGTGCCTTGTTAAAAACTCAAACTTGATGTCTTCCCTCCACCCTCATCCCGTCTTGTCCCCACAATGTGTTCCTCCATCCTTTCTGAGGCACGTCCTTCCTCAGTCTGCTGCTGTTATGTAATCGCTCAGTTTCTCCTCCTAGGACCGCCTGGCTCCAACATGGCCGCTGCTCACGCTATGACATCAGAGTGTGTGTGTGTGTCTTGTATTAAACTGTGTGCATTTGTGTGGAATCAATGTGGCCTTTGTGTTTGCTGAGAGAGCAGCTGTAGGCACCACAGCTCAGATGTGTGTTTGGTATTTTATATTATTTTTGGGGTAGGTCAAACCGAGATTGGTTTCTCTGTTAAAACAGTTAATATCAAATATATTTTATTTTCATCAATCATTTGTTGCAAGGATTTGGTCAAATGAGGAAATTAAGGGATCTTTTTTTACAAATCCATCCATTTGTTACAAATGTCAACCTCATGGTGGCGCTACAGGAAACACTCAGGAGATCAGCAGAGTCATTAGGTACGTTTGACTTCATGCGGCGCTTTGTAGCGCTGACTTAACGTGATGCATGCTGGATTTAACATAATGCACGCTAGTTAGAAATTTTCTCCAGCCGCACTAAGTTGAAACCACCTTTTGCCTGATCTCACAGTACTTGTCTGTGCAAATGCTGCAAGATCAGTCATTATTCTAAACTCGTGCACTCTACAGGAGGTAGAATGTGCCCGACTTGAGCCCAGTGTTTTTATACCTCACCCCTGCATCATCAGTCATTGTCAGCGCACATTTGACTATCGAGTGAAAATCAGCGAAAGTCATCTCGAACCCACCTACTATTTGTCACAACCTGGCTCAAGGGCCATGAACAGTGAGAACAGTGAGGTATCACTCCCACAGAGTGGCCTCACTGGATCACACAGGGGCCGTCACATATGTTTCACCCTCTTGGGACCATGAATGTCTGCACATCCAATAATTGTTATCTAACATAAAATGTCAAATGTGCATGATCTTTAGCTTGTGATGAATTTTGCCCCAAAGTGGCCAAAAGATTTCTGTATTTTTTTTGTGAAGACATTTTTTTTAAATTCAGTTTGGTGAAACATGGATCATAAACCAACAGTAAAGATATTAAAAAAGATATTGCTGATCTCTGGTCTCACCTGATTAAATATGGGTTAAATAAAATAAAACAACGACAGAGACGTGGATAGGTGGAGTCGGGCACAGCAGAGGCGTTTTATTTACAAAGTCCACGTAAGAAACTATATTTTTTCATTGTGCAGTTTCTCTTCAACTCAGCCTCCTCCTCACTGTTGTGTTTGAGTGTCGTGGGTGTTATAGTGGCGTGGCCAATGTTATTATACAGCAGGCAGCTAAATATTTCACCCAGATGGTGCTCAGACCGAGCTATTAGTCACACGTAGCTTCAGAGTTCTTCCTTTGACACAAATCCTAAGAATGACCCACATGGCATACAGCAAGTCATTTTGGTTCCAGCATCCAAAAATATCCAGATTCATAAATTCCCAGACAGAGCTGCGTGTGCTGCCGTCTCTTGGTCTAAATTTGATTATATGCTGAGATTACAGTATCAGTTTTATAATATCTGGATGGCATTTTTCATTTGTGGATGCGTACTGTATCACTACTGTATCTTATCACTGCAGAGTGAATAAACCACTGTGGGTTTTACAGCTGTCAAATCCTTTAAGATGTTTAAAATAGGACGGTGTAGTAGTCTACATAAGCAGCAGACATAGACCAACAGATGGTTTCTGAATGATGAGAATTAGTATGTAGATTATATCAGTGTGTTCAATATAGCACATTTCCTGTCACAGTTAAATCATCTCAGAACATTTAGTATAGTCCACATTAATTTTGCTGCTTAAAAAAAATGCTAATAAAGAAGTAACCGGCTTAAATAAATCTTATATTTTGAACCAACTGGACCACCAATGGATCAGATTTGTAATGTGAAAGGGCTCGATGGTAGTGATGAACCCATATAAGAGAATCATAACCTGACTCTGCAGCTTCCTTCAGCTCTACAGAGCTCTTTAGTGTCTCTCAGCTCATTGTTTTTGGTTTTACGGCCCTCAGTTTAACTGCTTTGGTTCACTCTCACTGCTCAAGTCATTTCAAGCCACAGCAGGCAGCCATTTTCAGAATAAAAGCTGTAAAAACCCACTGTGCTCTACCTGCTCAGCAGCAAACAGCAGACAGACACAGTTAGCTGGTGAACATAGTGGAGCATTTAGCAGCTGAAGAGACAGATAGTTTTCTCTTTTAAAAGACATAATATTGGTAGAAAGAAGTCTACGTTTCTGTTTGTAGAAATCAATCAGACAATCAGCTAATATATATTAATGGACTAATCGTTGCAGCTTTAAGTGAAACCATAAAAGGCTTTGGAACATTTTCTCTTTTCAGTCCTTCTCATTTCACTGATTTTCACCCTGCTATTGACATGATGAGATAAAGACATCATGCAGAATGTTTTTGGATCGTACTGCAGTATGTTAGCAATGTTTGTGTGCATGTTTAACAGATGTGAACACAGTTAACATCTGGCAACACACCAGATTTAAGCACATAGTTGTGATGGTGCCACAGATATCACAGAGACCTTCAGTTCAGCGCTCACAGTGTTTCACCTCCCCTCTTCTTTCTTCTCCCTCTCAGTGAGGAGCTGAAGCTGGCCTCCCAGAAGTCTCAGCATCTTGAGGAGGTACTGACCTTTCCAAAGTTTTGATTATATAAACGACTTCCTTCATCCTGTTGTAGATCAGGGTTTGTTAAGTCAGAAACGGTGATTTGATTAATAGGTTTTGGCGTAGCGAGGATTTACCTCCTGCTGTGACGGAACTCCTAAAGCTCAGACGGGTTTAGCTTCTCTTTAAATACCTCTATATTTGTGTGTGTGTTTCCTCCCAGCACAATGAAGACCGTAACAGTCAACAGCCAGACATGAAGACCAGGTAAGAAACTATTTTATGTATATACTCTTTATATCATGCCATGCTCTGACTTGTAAACACACTCTGATGCACTCAGTAATGCACTAAGTTATGCGAATGAATGTCACTAGTTGTTGATTCAGTTGATAAAACTTCTGTGCTTTTACTTAAGAAATTGAGTTTTTTATTCTACTTCAGTATCTGATTACTTCTTCACCAGTGTCTGCACGACAACAGAGTTTATTCCAGACTGCTTCACATCTATTAGAACAGCCGGATTTATACTTTTTAAATGCGGTTTGAGTTTTAACATTGTGACGGTGCGGGCAGTGCACACACACTCGCTCCCCGCCCCCTGCTCCCGTACAGCCTTAATTAAGCTGTTCATAAACCTCACTGTTATACATTTTTCCTCTACTGTTTTAGTAGCGCGATGCACAATTGTTAGCTCTACCATTCTTTAAACATGCATTTAAACAAACATCATAAACACTTACTGTGTCGAGGTGCATTGCAGGTTTCGCTCTGTTGTTTCCCGTTCGGTTTGGCAAAACAGGAGCGTAACATTTCCGTCTTTTAAATAGTATTTTCTCTTGCGGTTTCATGATCACTTTAACTGCACATATGGTTGTAATAATAATTTGTGATGCAAATAACTGTTTCAGGGGAAGGAAAACGGTTGTGGCGATGGATATAATTATTGTTGAAAATATGTGGAAGTGTAATAGATATAAATCCTTTTCGGTAGTTCGTAAAATGTGTTTATTGTATAAATAATTGTTGAGCCTAGTGGGTGGGGCTACCGGCTTTAAAAGTGGCAGCTTTGGGCCTGTGAAGTCAGTCTTGGCCTGGTTACAGAGGAGGTAACTAGTGAGCTGCTTTTTGTGGGTAGAGAGAAGTTATTGAAGAAGTCTTCTTGTAACTTTATTATTGAGTAAGTTATTAATTTTTTTCAAGTTGTTTTTTAAGTTTTATTTTCTTTATGCAAGTTTTTTCACTGTTTGCAGTTTGGAGGCCGGCATAATAAAAATCATGTCACTTTTTTTCGACTACGTCTGTGTTTTCCTAATTTTTGAGGAGTTTGGAAGAGAGCCCGCTACGCACATCTATTCGTTGTGTTTGTTTGGTCTTATTTTAAGCACTTTCTAAGTCTGGAAACAAACTAAACTTTGTGTTGTCTCACACGTCTCGGCTCAGTAATCAGAGGATTAAAACGTCTCTCTGCAAACCCACAGAGCAGCGTCTGTTTGTTAAACAGCGAGAGTGAATGTTTGATAAAAAGGGAATGATAGACAGCCGAGGCACGATGACAGTCGAGGATGAGAGTCGTGTGTTTGATTTACTGAGCAACAAAGTGGAGGAAAAGGAGGACGTGAAGAGCAGATGACAGATCTGTGGTGTTGGCCAGAGGGAAAACAAGAGGTGATGTACAATTAGAGCAGAAGTAATAGAAAAGGTTTGGAAGAACTGAGTGTCGGGTAAACATGATAAAGATAGGAGATGTGATTCGGTGAAACGACTTGCTTCACATCCAGTTTCATGTATCAAGAAGGCTGTAACAGAGGTTGTCGGGGTGTCAGCTGGCTGTCGCTGGTCTGTTCAGCTTAAGGTGATTCTTGGTTTTGGATTTATATTGAATCTCTGGTTTCTCACTTGATTGATGGAGATGTAGAAATCCAGCATCATTTCAAGTGGAAGTTTAAAAAGCTTTTTATTTACATGCATTTATATTAAAGGTACCCTGTGGAGGTTTTGACCACTAGGTAGTTCTGAAGTAATGATTTCTGTCCATGATACACTTGCATTTGGGTTTACTTCTCAGTTTGTTTTGAACAAAGACAAACTCAGGTTTCAGTTTGGTGCAGTTTGAGAGCAGTCAGCATATTGATTCTCTGTAAATCTGCACTTCTCCCTACAGAGAAATCTCTAATCAGGAAAGGGAGGGGGAAATAAACTTCCAGAAATCCACTGGAGCCTTAATCTCTGACAAAGACCGGGAACTGGAAACTCTGAGGAATGAGGTGCTCGCACATGACTTTCACCCTGTCTTATTGTTTCTAAACTTCACTCTGAATTAACTGAGCCATGCGATAGAGATTCACCCATTTGCTCCGTCACTGCAGATCGCTGTGCTGCGAGGAGAAAACGCCATGGCCAAGACGCTGCAGTCGGCCGTGGAGACGTTGGAGAGAGATAAAGCTCAGCTGCAGAGCCGTGTTCACAGTCTAGAGCAAAGGCTCATGGGAACGCAGGCCTCAGAGGAAGAAGACAGGGACGCTCCACCCTCAGGTGAGCAGACGATGATTAAAGCGTTCACAAGGTTCTGGCAAGAAAATATTTCTTTTTTGTCAACCTGTTTTCTGATTTGCGGCGTGCTTCTGCAGGCGATGCAGCTCTGGAGCAGCTGAGGGAAGAGAAGGAGTTCGCTGAGGGACAGGTGAGACTGTCAGGATGCTTCCCAAAATAAATGTTCACGCTGCTGTCCAATCAGTTCATGCTCCGGGTTCTCAGTTGTTATCTGTGACCACATGAAGATGAACTGTGACTGTGATTCTCTCCATCAGATCAACTTCCTGAACAGTGTGATTGTGGACCTGCAGCGGAAGAACGAGGAGCTGAAGATCAAACTGAAGAAGCTCGCGCTGGCTGAGTTCAACGGCAACGACGGGACTGATGGGTGAGAAATATATAAATTAATAGAAATATACAATGATTGCTGCTTTGTTTTATATTACCGTATTGGATGACCTCCCCCTTTTTTTAAAGACTAATTTAAAAAAATATATACTTTTTAAAGACCAAATCTTGTTTTTATGAAGAAAATAATTTTATTTGAAAATAATTCTAATAAAAACATGTTGAATAAAATAAAATAAGGCGGGTCATTGTTTTTTCTTAATCTTTTCTTTTCAATATCAGATATACCAATTTTTAAATTAAATTACTCCTAAATAAAATATAAAGATATTTTAAAAGATATTGAAAGCGTTATTTTATTTAAAAGATTAAAAACAACGACCTACCTCGACATCATAACGCCTCCTCAGCTGTTGGTTAACTTGACCTCCTTTTGTGACACTTTGTTCGACACGATCTCTGTGTCTGCGTCGTTCTGCACCGCCAAAATGCTAGTTGCTATAGCATTATAGCGTCCACTGTGTTGACTTTTGCCCTCTGCTCACTTTAATGAGGGTATAATGATAATCGTGCGGCTCTTGTGGAGATCACATTCTGATAGTGAAACGAGTCATTTCGCTTGGATATTGACCCACCTCGTTACAGCTGCTGAAATTGGCCGCTAGTAAAATTGACTTCAAAGCACGTGACAATCGACCAATCACAGTTCTTGCGGTCTGCGTCGCCGTCTAAATCAGGCTTTAGAAAGATCACTTCACTGGGATTTGTTGATTTGTTGTTGATAAGTAAAGTATAGAAATCACCAGATTTATCCCCTAAATTAATCGTCACCCGTTGCTCCTCTCGTGCCTCCCCTCTTTTCTCTGCCACGTAGGTTTGTTGAAGGTGTGTCAAAGCGGGAGAAGAAGGCCACCCCACGACTGTTCTGCGATATCTGCGATTGCTTTGACCTCCACGACACGGAGGACTGTCCCACTCAGGCCCAGAGCCCCGACTCTGTACCTCACACCACCTATCACGGCAACCCGGCCGACGAGAGGCCCTACTGCGACATCTGCGAGGCCTTCGGACATGCCACAGAGTCCTGCAACGATGACCAGACCTTCTAGAGGCTCCAAGAACTCTCTACCTGCATTTTAATTAATCTTCCCCTTAAACACAACTCACCTTTTACTCTCCCACTAGATTTCCCACAATCCAGCCCCGACATGCCTGACTTAAATTCCCTTCAGATTTGTCCATATTGTATTTTTATACCGTATTTATGCATATCACTGGTAGCCACTGTCCTGATCTACATCCTTTACTCTGCAGCTCGTCGCTCTAAAGATAAACTGTTCTGACTGTAATGCAGAACGCTCGTCCAAATATGCTGCTTTGGTGCAATATTGATGTTTATAACGAAAAGGAATCCGTCCTCTGCACTTGTCGTTTCTAGCGTGTTTAAGTTTGTTTGTAAATTAAGTGATGTTTCACAGCCATTGGTTTTTATGGGCTTTATTTTTTATTAGGCAAGAAGTGATGCAACGCAATTAAGCACAGCTCAGACTGAAGGGAAAACGAAGCACCTCTTCGACGTTTCTTTCTGTATCACATTCCTCAGTCTGCACGGCTACAAACCAATCAGAGTGATACTGCCATGTCAAATGTTTTACTAATCTTTAATGTTGAGTACTATTTTACAAAGTCCTTCTTTCAGTCTGTCTGCGACGGCGTACTTGGGCCACCGTCGGGAAAATAAATCATCAACGATTTCAAGCAGAAAGTTTTAATATTTTGGGAAAAATGCTGAATTCATAATATTTTGAGAAAAAAGTTGTAATATTTGGAGAAACATTTTTGTTTGTTTAAATAGTACAAAAATAGTGAAACATATCTACAACAATATTCATACATTCAATACTAATTAAATACTCCAACATGCCTTGTTTTCTTTGTTTAAGATGACAAAGGATTAAAATCTTGTAAAACAACATTTTCTCTATATACTACTTATTTCAGAAGGTTATGACTTTATTGAAATAGTAAGACTGTATTCTCAAAATATAACAACTTTATTCTCTAAATATTACAATATTATTCTCGTCATATTGAGGCTTTTTTTTCTCTAAATATTGAAATTTTAGACTCATTAATACGACTCGACTAGAACTAGAAATATAGAAATATAACTAGAAATAAGTTTTTTTTTCTCCAACTAATTAGTTGTTCAGTTTTTTAAGTGGCCCTAATACTCCGTTTTAATCAGCCTAAATGTCATTAACCTGTTGATAACCTATGGAAAACCAATAATATTAAGTAACATGAGCGAAGTTCGACCTTGGAAATCGTAGTTTCAAAGGATACTAGCTTTTTTCCAGAGCTTTCAGCTTGGTCTCACTGTCTTCATCAGTCTTTGGAGTTCATTCCTGAATTTGAGGCTTAAGAATTAGCTCTCTGCGTTTACTCCATCTGTTGATGAAGACCATGAGATGCAAATGAAGAAAATAAAGCTGGTAAGTGGACCTTGACTTAAAGGGGCACTCCGCAGATTTTACACATAACGGTCAGTTTACTTGGTTACTTACTTCATTTTTATATAAAGTGTCTTGACAACAGTTTTGTATTTGACAAAACAATCTCTCTACAAGGTCCTTTAAAAGCTGTTCTGGAGCTTTCATCATAATCACTATCTTCATCAGCAGATAGAGTTTCATGGTTGTCGTGGACTTTTAGGTGTTCTGGTTTCAGGTTTTTTTGAGCACTTCTCGTCTGTGTTTCATCCACATTTGCATGACGATGTGGTAACTCAATCAAAAGCTCCAGAACAGCTACTAAAAGGACCTTGTGATGAGATTGTGTCATTCCTTAGATTAGCACATGGGTTAATGCCGCTGAAGGTTACTAAGGATTTGTTGTAGATGATGATGAAGTTGTTGTATTTTATTATTTATTGTCTAAATTTTTCACTAACCAGTCCTACAGGGAAATAAGCTAGCACATATTAAAGGTGTGTAGTCTGTACTAGGACTACTGTAGTAAAGGTCAGAGTACAGGTAGCACAGGAACTCACCCAGACGAAACTAGAGAAGACTCTACTAACTTAGTTTTGCACTGTCCACTTTAACGATTTAGCAGAAGCAAACTTTATGATTCTAAAAAAAAGTGATTCAAGGTCAGTTCAGATTATTCTGTCCCGTCTCATACTGCCCTCTTTAAAGCAAATGTTTGACATTAAGGGAAATACGCGTATTTGCTTTCTGGCGGAGAGTTAATATGAGAAGAACGATCCCACTCTTACGTCTGTATGTTGAAATTACAGCAGGTTAGCTTAGCTTAGCACAAAGTCTGTAAACGTGGTAACAGCTAGCCTGGCTCTGTCCAGGACACAACCCCTATAAAACATTGTTGTTGTCACACTTTGTTTTTTGTATAGATTAAACAAGGGAGATTTTAGTGAGCATTAAGGATGTGATAGGTGGGTTTTGTTACCTTAGGACAGAGCCACGTTAGCCAAGCTAAGTCAAAGCTAAGCTAAGCTAAGCTAACTGGCTCCTGGGGAACATCAAACTGTTTTTCCAGGTGTTTGGGAGTACTGCTGGATATATGAAAAACGTAGTATCTCTTAAAATAAAAAGTAGTTCTTAGTGTCTCCAGAGGGAGATGTGTCCGTCTGATAAATTGCCTCAAGTGATGTCACTTGAGTCAGCGTTTGATTTGGGCTTAAGACGACAAGTTTGGGAATAACAGAAATCTGTTGGAAAGAAGTTAGAAAACAAGTTTAGCAGACCTCTGTAGCTGCTGCAACAGTCGGCTACAGAGTTGTATTGTGGGTAATGTAGGCGCCATGTTTTGACAAGGAAAAGGAAATGCGTTGGATTAAAAAAGACGATGTCTCTGCTTACGCTGCATCGATTTTAACTGTGAGTCCGACGATGTTAAAAGCAATTAATAACAATTAATCGATTAGTTGTCAACTATTAAATTAATCACCTATTTTGATAATAGATTAAAAAGTAAAAATATTTTCTAGTTTCTTTCCTCCTCTATGACAATATTCTGAATATCTTTGGGTTGTGTACTAAACAAAACATTTGAGGGCGTCATCTTGAGCTTTAGGAAACACTGATCAACATTTTTCACCATTTTATGACATTTTACAGACCAAACAACTAATCGATTAATCGAGAAAATAACTCACACATTAATCTGCAATGAAAATAATTGTTAGTTGCAGCCGTAATGTTATAGGAGTGCACTAATAAATCAGTGTAGAACTCTTTTTTTAATGGACAGATATGAGAGAGTGGAATGAATTTTCTTTTTTTACCAGAAAGCAAACAAGCGTATTTCCCAAACTGTAGAACTATTCCTTTAAATTAACCGTGTATAGCGACATTTATTTGACTTACCTTGTTCTTAAGCACAATTTTGGATCACATTGGATCTTGCAGTGTAACAGTGTATAATACATGATGTGACTAACCATTGACACTAGTCTTTGTAAATAGTAATCAGAGGCCTCCTTCTGATTAACGTGTACACAGTGCCATGGAACAAAAAGATAGCTTTTATGTGTACGACACTTTATTTTTATGCCCTGTTGATAAGAATGATGTATACGGAGATTTCCACTCCAGGGGGAGGGGGGAGCCCATTTGTATAGACTTTAAAAACATTGTGTACTTTATAAGTGATGCGTCTAATTATTAGTGTAATGTTTTATATGTAACAACTTCAGGCACCATCTAGAAGTGGTTTTGAAACCATTTTATAGATGTTGACGTGGTGTAAAATGTTACTGTTTTCTATGTACTGTATACTCCTGAACAGTCCAATACAAAGACTAAGAAAAGTCTTGTGTTCTTGTTTTTGTCTTCTTGCAGAAACTCGGGTTTTTGCCTCGCAGCAGAGAGATGTACAACCTCTCAGACAGCATTCAAACCCTCTTTCCAACTCACAGGACAATGTAGCTTAGCTGCTGCACCGCTCATTATAGTTTCATCACCCAGATCCATTTGCTCCTGAGAGATTCAGAGCCTGCTCCATTTTTCATGAACTCATGAGGGCTGTTTCATAAAGCAATTACCTGTTAAACCAGGCACACTTATTTTCAGGAAACTCTGTCCTTGTCAGACTCAGCCTCATCTCTAAAGTTCCTCTTTACTGCTGCTCTGTGCAACCCGGAGAAAATCCAATAATATATTAAATATTTACTTTCTGTTAGCTCTGAGTTTGGTCTCCTTCAGCTCCTGAGGGAAATATCTGGCTCTTTAGCTCCATCAGCTCGTCTCTAACTGTGTCTGTCTGCTGTTTGCTGCTGAGCAGGTAGCGTACGGTGGCTTTTACAGCTGCTTCTTTGACACAGCTGCTGAAAATGATGCTATGAGAGAAGTGAGCGCGAACCAAAGCAAAGCAGCGCATATTAAACATAATACGGACAGTAAATACGACAAAAATAAACATAGCCAGAAACAAAGCAAAGGAGAACTTTTGCCAGCATGTTGGAAAACAGCAGTGAGCTCTGACACTACTGAATTATTTTAATTTTTATTAAAGTTTTTGTATTAGTCCCCGCTGTAATGAAAACGTAGATAGTGCACTTGTGTGTCTTGTAACCATACAGTCATCAGGGTGCTTCACAGTTCAAGTCCAGTGTGAGTAATGTGGACTTTCTTTATATCGTAAATGCTGATAATTATTATTCAAAATGTGTAGCAGTATTAAACAGGCCAGTGTGGTATTAATACTTTTACTTAAAGGATCTTTGGATCGGGTCTGTTTTCTGACCTGTAGGTGGTCATGTTATGGGCTATATGTAGCTTTACGAAACACTCCTCTGGTTATCACATACTCACAAGGAAACCAGAGGTACTTTAATAAAGTACTTAAGAGATCTCCTGTACTGAAGATGCAGTTTCCTTTTCCCTCAAACACTGAACACAAACAACCCAAAAAATGTTTTGTGAATTTTATTAAGAAAACAAAACCATTGGACATGATAAAAACCAAGCACTACTGATGGAATAAATAAGTCAAACCAAACCATAAATCTGTACAAGATCTAAAGTGAAACAAAATGGTCCCAAGAAAAAAACAAACCAAAAACAAGATCTTATATCTCACAGCTCTTTCTTTTTTAAACACAGTTATGAGCAAACTATAAGCAATCGGCTCAATCAGGTGAAAGCTACAACATAAGTGAGATTTTTATTTTAAACTAAGTGTACATAATGCTGTTTTCTAACTGTTAATGTCAATACAATAGCATTTTAAGTTCCAGCGCTGCTGGACTGGGAATGAGGTATATGCTAATCCATCCTCTGAACTGAGACAATTATCATTTTTTATATTTCTTTTCTCTCCATCCATGTGAATGCTGATTTGCTGAAATCTGATCAAGTAATTCTGCGTCATAAAGTTCTTCTGTAGCCCCTGTTATGTTATGAAGTCATTGGTTTGCAGTGATTCAAATTGATTCCAATCCATTTCCACAAGTAAATATTGATTAATGAAACTAAATCTTACACATGTGAGGTTGTACATTAGAGGTCACAGGTCTGAATCCGTACTATGAAGTTCAAGTAAATTGCACAAACCTGCACAAAAAACCGAGAGCTTGACGCCACACGTTTATGGATTCAGCCGACAGACAGCACCTTGAAGGAGGATTAGAACCAATGTTGGAGCTAAAAGACTGGACTCTGTCTCGAGCTATAGGAACATGTGTCGGTCATTGATAAGTAGTGGTACACAGAACATGTACAGAGATGAGAGGTGATCAAATACGAGTCATGATGGTGGACCAGATGGGAAAATCAGCCCCAGCGACGGGTCTGTTTCTACTATAGAGGGAGAAAAACAACGACAAAGTGCCACCTGAAGTAGACACAGACCAGTGGACCAGGAAGTCTGACGTATTAATGAGGTTCAGATGTTCAAATGTCCAGAAGAGAAAACTAAAGCACTTCTGGGTAGTGTTCAAATTGATTTAAAGGAATAGTTCCACATTTTGGGAAACACTCTAGAGAGAATTGACGCTTTAATGTCGGTACAGTAAATAGCATCAGGAGTGGAAATCAGGGGCAGCTAACCAGCCTAATAGCACCTTGGGTTTTTGTTTCATCTCTACAAAAAACAAGGTTTTCCTCCAGGAGGTCTCCTGACCAAGAAGTCATCTGGCACAAAACCACAATTTGTCATTTTTAGACTTTTTAAAATACAAGTTAAAACACGCTGAATGTAAAAAAAAAAAAAAGAAGAAAAAAAAGTGAGCTAAATCCACCTACCAGCCCATCTAAAGAGCACTAATTATCACGCTGTATCTCATTTGTTTAAACCATACAAAAAAAAGTCTAAAAACAGCAATTAGTGGTAGTTTTTATAGGTGCCTTCCTTCGGAGAGAGCCAGGCTAGCTGTTTCCACTCTTTATGCTAAGCTAAGCAGCTCCTGGCTTTAGCTACATAGTGGTATCAATCCTCTCATCTAACTCTCGGCAAGAACAGTGAATATTTCCCAAAGTGTGTAACTATTCCTTCAAATAAAAAACAAAACCGTTGTAGTTGATAATAAATCAAATCAGATTATACTAGTGATGATTATAAAAAGGCAAAAAAACAAAACATGGCACCAAAATTATAATTCTGAACCTGCTTGACCTGCTAAACGTGGATTCAATCGCTGCAACTCAAGGCACACCTTCAGGACCGACGCTACCTTATGCCTGTTCACTACTTATCCAAGAGTTTATCCTGACCAGTACCGTCGTCCTCTTCTAATTCTTCCTCTACAAACCACAAACTAACTCACTTTAAAAAAAACAACAACATGAGAATGGAGAACTTTTCATGGATAGAGAAAAAAGACTTCCACTACAGCAGCAAATCTATCTGTGATCGATTGTGACATACCGTAACAGTGCATTGACCCTCCTGAGAAAAAAACCCTAAACGTTTCCTAAACAAATATAGAACATTAGTCTAACAGGAGGCGGATCGGGAGGATTGAAGTGAGGTGGTCTTAGGGTGGAAGTTCCCCCCGCAGCGCTGATCTGAGACCAGGTTAGCCTCTTGAGTATCCTGAGCTAAACCATGAGCAGTGAAACGTTTTAAAATCGGTCTCAGAGCAGCGTCCGGGATCAACCTCGTCCTAAACTCGGATCCCCAGTGTTAACTCTTCTAGTCACAGGTGCAGGTCAGTGTTAGTGGTCTGGCCTGGCGGTGGCCGGGCTCGGCTGACAGCGCCACCCCTGGTCACGGAGGGGGTTGCAGCCCGGGTTCAGAGCTTCTCTTGGCATTAGTGAAAAAGTGTGGAGAACTGGAAGGAAGCACGGAGGGGGACCAGTGAATAGAGGTAATATCCATTCTCCCTCTGTGGCAGAGGAGTGTTAGGGCAAAGGAGGCGAAACCGAAGGGGAAACAGCCGTCAGGAGGGGAGGGAAGAGAGACGTCCATTCTCCCTTTGGTATAGTTTGGGGCAGAGGAGGGGGAGGTGGGGTAGTAAGAGGAGTGGGAGGAGAGCTGGTGTGTCCATTAGCCCTAAATTATCTAGAGTTAATGGAGGGAGGTGCAGAGGGCAGGAGGAGGAGGAGGAGGAGGAGGAGGAGGAGGAGGAGGAGGAGGAGGGTGCAGGAGAGAAAAGACTCAAACATTTAGCTCTCCTCAAAGTCCTGAGACGAGGACTCCAGTTTGCTTTTCTTGCTGGGCGGGGCCTCCTCTAGGTCCTACAAGGGAAAAAACAAAACGAAAACAGTGCTCAGAAAAATAGATATCTGAACATTTACATGACAACTGAGCATCTGCTGGTTAAAAGTAATGCAGAGTTCACCAAGTTAAATTTAAGACGTACGATCTTTTAATAACCACATACATGCGCTTTAACACCTGTTTAAAGGCCTAGTTCTGTATATTACATGTTATTGAGATCAAGTTGTTTTAGAAAATGAAATGCTATTAAATAGGCTTTGTCTTATTAAAACAAATTTTTCATGTCTGTCAAAATGATGAACAACAAGAAAGTCCAACACGACCTCTGCTGTAGAGATGAATATATATTTTACTTTACATTATAAAAAAGGCACACTGTGACACACATGTTCTAAGGACAGGAGGTCCCTCTCGTTGTTATTCAAGGTCCTACTGTATCTAAATTGCTATAAATATCCGTTCAACATTCACGAGGGCCTCAGGGCAACACATATTATGGCTATAGTCAACATTGGAGCAGCAGTCAAGAGAGAAAAGTGATTTTTTGTTGATATTTTTTGTTGATATTGTGATTATCTTAGTTTTTCTGTTACGTTCTATTTTATTTGTCTCAGATTTTCCATCTCTGAGAAATCTGCCTACAAAGTGAAACAACAGGGGATTAAGAATTTAGTTTGTGTTTCTCTGAAAATTTAAGAAATTACAGCATTGTGTCTTTCCAAAACCAACATCCTGATCCCTGTGGAACTTCATTATCAACAGTTTATACTGCTTTTTTCATTTTTAGCACAGTAATTAGACTATTTATTCAATAAACAGATATTGCTTTTGATTTAAATCTCAGAAAATAAACCTGGACACATAAAATTAAAGAATATCTGTATGGCTAGATACAATTTGAGGTTTTTGTAATTTGGGTGAACCGACAGATGAGCTCTAAGTGTTGTTTGAAGACGTGTTCGTACCTGAGCGGCTCTGCTGTCTGAAGAGTCCTTATCCCCCGAGGACAGGCTGTCTCTCTTGGCACTTTGTGCTCTTTCTGAGGTCTCTGACGACGGGGTGGTCTTACCTGAGGACAGAACAGGTGCACACGTCTTCAGTTGGCCGGACCGAACAACGTACATTAAACAGGGGATGTGTTGTGGTTGCAG